AGCAAACAGAAAATCATGATAGGCTAGTAAAATAGGTAAATGTCGCTAATTACGCATGGGAAGACTGAAATTGAAAACGCCCCCTTCAAACCATATGTCGGTGCGAAAAGGATGCTGGCCAAAAAGCAACTAAACACATGTGCAGAGAGCATTTTTGGTTTTTTACCATTACCAAAAAAGTCCGGAAAACTCGGCTGAAAAGTAAATGGGACACGACTTATTGCCTCGTTTCAGCGGAAATTTCTGGGAGCAACGGAACATCTCAAAAGGTAGTCCAATTTTTCCGGACAAAATGTTCTAATTAGATATTCGTGTTTTATTTCTTCAAGGTCATCTTTTGATACCAGTTTGATAACCGCCGTGTTTTGGTAAATGGAACAAGTCATTCCAGTCTTAAATTTTTGCATACCATTAGCCCGAACCGTGAACCGACCAGTCTAGCCATGTAAATGGTAAACAACCATGGAGTGTCCCACAGACTTGACCGTTGTACTTGTAAAATACATTTACCTCCTTACTGAGGCTAGTTGTCTCGGATACGAGGAAATGCATAAGCCCGGGGGGGGGGGGGGTACTCCCCCATATAAGCCATGTAGGTATGTGCCGCCCCAAAGGGTGCGGTTTTTGGGCCTTTTTGGCCTAAAAACGGGTATGGATTTTAGAGGTCAGGTCTGAAAAGTTGTGAGGAAAATAACATGCACACTTTTTGGTCCGAAATAGGGTCAGGATTTGAAGAACCAGGCGGCACACACCCCCAGCAAGAATTCCCAGGAGTATCCTTTAGGGACACAAGGGATAACTGATAAATGTATACAATTTATTTTAACGCCATCCTAATGTAAAGAGTAGCGTTGACGTTTCTATGGATAAAAGCTAAATGAAACGTGAATTTAGTCCCCGGAGTGGTATGATACAGAATAGACTAACTAAGAATAGACTGACCATCCCCCTCACCCCCTCCAAAGAAAAGCACACATTTCCAAAGTCGTTGCCTGTTCTCTCCTGGTTGTCCTTACCAGCATCATCTCTTTGATCACCATTGCCACAGTTACCATCATCATCATCATCATCAACATCATCATCATCGTCTAAAATGACGATGACGAGGATGATGATGAATGAATGAAATGAAATCGTATGACCATTTTTCTAAAACAGCCAACTGGCCAAACGTGGTTGTCAAGAACAACATAGATAATGCAATGTTCATTCCCTATTATTGTAGCCAAACTATCTGGTCTCATTTGTTCAGAATGTGAATAAGGCTATCCACCCTTTGAACAACTTGGATCTTGCAGAGATACCCTGACATCTTACGGAAAGTACTAGATTAATCAAACATTGGGGCCATTTATACGAGGAACAGTAAGACGCGTCTTACATAAGGCTCGTCTTAAATAAGACGCGAACTGTACCATCTATACGAGCATGTCTTATCTAAGACGAGAACAGTTCGTATAAATGGTTCGCATCTTATTTCTGTTCTCGACTCGTTTTCATGTAAATGTTCCCCATGGCAACGGCAATCCAATATGCCGCGCCAAAAATTAACGCATGCGTACCATGCGTTCGCGTCAGAAGCGAAGGTCATTTATACGAAGTTTTTCTAGTCTTAACTAAAAGGACGCGTCTTATCTAAGAAGAGGTATTAAGGGCTGTTCTAAAATAAGACGCGTCTTAGCTAAGTCGCGTCATATTTTAGACGAAATGTGCCGTTTTATACGGAAAGTTCGCTTCTTATTTAAGACGCGCCTTATGTAAGACGCGTCTTATTTTTCGTCGTATAAATGGCCCTAATGAGGTAGAACATCCCTTTGTTGTCCAAAGACCTAAGTTTGGCCCCCTCTTCAAAGGAAGAAACAAACCAAGTCCAAGAGGGTAAGCAACAACAATTCCCTTAACTGTAATATAAAAATAATAGAACATTAACAATAATCGTAATATCCTACCATTATGTTACTTTTACGTGGTATGTAGTTATCTTAAACCCAGTGCGCTTTACATTAATTTAAAATTCAATCTTAAGCCCAGTGCAAACGGACACAACGTTGTTGGCCCACAACTCTTGACATTGTTGGTTGTTACATTTTGCCTCCTTTTACATGCCCTGTTGCACATTGTTGCTTGTCACCGAAGCGTAGCGCAACAATGCTGGATCCGTTTGCACTGCTCTTCCAGCATTTTTGGGGCCACGCAAATGCATCACACATGGTCTGCAAAGTCTTATGGGTTGTATCCTTCCCACGATGCACTGCATGTCCCAACATTCCTCGCTTCGATTCCATTACAAAAATTGCTGTAGAATTTCGGAATCGTTAAACCTTGTCTCATTGTACCTGCGAAAAATGTTTAGTCTCGCTTGCTTTAGCTGCGAGACTCTAAAAAGGCAAGCGTTTCTTTTTTCTTCCTTTTTCTTTTTTTTCTCATGTGCGTGCCAAAAAGGACTCATGGTCCCAAGCGTTCCTAGCGGAGACCGTGGAAAATAGGAATAAGAACCGCGAAGTGTCACAGCGCCATGCTTTACTTTATGAAGAAGGCTTAAGAATAATTGATGCGAAAGATGTCGAGCTTTTCCATAACGGATCGGTACACTAATTCTTTTGCTTGAAAGCGCTGGTTACTTTGGAACAACTGAATACTTCAGTGGAAACTTCGATGGTGAGGCTATAAACTGGTCGGGTGTTAAACTTTCATTGTATGCAAATAAGTCTTGTGATGAGCATGCGGTTTGTTTTCAGCGATGATTGAAATGGCGCGCCATGTTTATCACGTTTTTGCTTTCTGACAATGAGGTAACTTCTCTCGAATTGATTTTCGTGAATTTATACATGTGTTATCAATCATCGTCGAATACGATATAAAAATTAAATATCCTGAAGAATACTCGACTGCCGATAAAGTAGGAAATGAAAAACTTTTGGAGAGGAAATCCTGTTTCGTATAAAATTAATCACCTCCTCATTTCTAATTTAATCTTCAAGCAAGCGATAAGAGCGTTCTTGTTACAAGAGTCTTTACCAGACTTTTTAGTACATCACAGGAGGGATACTTTCAAATGCGGCCAATTGGTCTTGTAAGAGTAGCTTTGGTCTCATCGATGGTGCTGTTACCCTTATAAGTCGCTTACGAGAGTTTAAGAAACTCGTTAATAATTCATAAAGAAAAACAAGAGGAGTTTATGTTTAATGAGTGTCTTTATACCTGATATAGATACGGCTAAACTTTACGCCCAGTTTTTTAGACCAAAATAATCGCAACCGACCTTTAGCGCAACGTGCAGTTTCTTTGAAGTGTTGATTTATATGAATAAGACCCTGAGAGGTTGCTTACGAGAGTGGTCGCAAGGAGAGCATCGACTGTAAATGTTAACTTTTTGTCCATTATATCTCCTAAGTTTCGAGTCTTGTTTGTGATATCGATTTAAGTTCCTGCAATGATCCCAATGAGGTTGCATTATCGCTATCATTAATACCTTCGACATCTGATCATTATCATTGCAATAAAACGTCAGTGAACATCATGATCGTTACCATGCTTTTCACCAATTTCGTGATCGTTTTAGCAACCTCCACCACCCCCGCCACCACATCCACCACCGCCGAATCCACCGCGTCTCCCTCCACCACTACTAAAATGCCAAGAACTGCTGGAATAAGAAACACTTCTAGAATGAAACCTTTTGGGTTCAACCCTGGATTGCCTGCATCTTTGACATGTCCCGCTTCTAATGTACGGTCTAAACATGTCGGCGCTGTAACCGACTGCCTCAGCAAACTTCAACTTTTTATTGCGTATTCTGTTAAGGTTTTCTGGACAACGACAATTTGGGTCATCCTCTAATGTTCTGACAGGAATGGGCTGACAAAGGAGGTAAAGAATAGCAATTGCAAACCCAAATGCAATTGACTCTGGTACGTGAGCAACGTCTGGACGAATTGTAATCGTACCTTCTCTAAGGTCCACATTTAAGCTTATTTTCTTGCTTAGCTCTACCAAAAATGTCTCGTTCGAGTAAGAAGGAACAGATTTCCATCCTTGTGTCTCAGTAAGAGAAAAAAGCTTAATGTGCAATTTGTTCCAGGGATCATTTTCCTTCCATGTGCCGATACAGATCCCCCAATCTCTACTTCCTCGAATCAACATAGCTCTTTCGTTGTCCTCTAGGGTACAACATCCTTTCCGGTCACTGACTTGCTCCCTACTTGGAAGAGTATTCCCTTGGAGAAGATGTGCTGTACTAACAACATCTCCAGCATTGTTGATGACCTCTACACATGCCATGGGATGAAATCCTCGTCTTATCCCCCAGTGCATTACTCGACACGAAAAAGCCAGGCGATCATGGCTGTCAAAAACCTCCTGCAGTGCCATTTCGCAGTTTTCCGAAGGCGAAACAGATAAGGAGTGGAAGATAGATAACATAGGGGTGCTTAAAATGGTTGCAGCGTCATTCACGTGGCGGAATGCTTCTTTCGGTTTCACATTGAACCAATATCCCTTAGGTAACGGCGGATGGGCAACGGCAGTAATTTTAACAAAGATATCACGTGAGAAATCTTCCCTGTGTGTTACTGTCTGTGGAGCTTCCAGGCGTCTCTGCATGAACATTTCCAATGGGAAAGGGAAACGTAAGCCTTCCGCATTCTGCCCCTGAAGGCATTGACAAGATGGACATTTCTGGGAAATTTCAATCTGCCGTAAATAAAGTGCAAATTTCTGAGTTATTCGACGATTGATGAGATTAGATTAAAATAGAAGTTCAATTTGCCCAAATTTATCAGTAATCCATCAAAAAATATATCACCAATTAGCGATATGTTAGATGGCAACTTTCCCTAAAAGGACGCAGTCAGCTGATGCTTAGCACATTAGGTGCCATTTTTAGGCGATTTGCATATTACAAGATACGCGATTCACACTTCTTTAACCAAATAATATAAAACTATATCATAGGATGAAAAGTTGTAGAACTAGTGTCCAGGTCAGCGCGGTCTCGAAGGTTACTGTTTCCCTTGAAGTGTCAACTTTACATACTAACGTAAATAAAACAATCAAACATCCAGGAAGAAATGCACCATCATAATCTTCTAATAATACACAACTAAACTTTTTCGGTTGTGATTGGTTATGAGGAATGCAGCTTTTAGGGAACATGATGTACTTGTAGTAGTGCTAGATGTGATGGTGGTTGAAATCGTAGTGGTGTTGATGATGGTGGTAGTGGTGGTGGTGGTGGTGGTGGTAGTGGTGGTGGTGGTGGCGGTGTTGGTGTTGATGGTGGTGATGTTAGTAGTGATAGTGAGTAGCAGTGATAGTCTTTCAAGCGGGTAAGAGGTGGTGATTGTGATGGTAGTGGTGTTGATGATGGTGCTGGTAATGGTGGTAATGATGATCTTGGCGGTGATGGTGATGGTGGTAATGGTCGTAGTAGTAGTAATAGTTTCTCGGGCTGATGAACTTGACTAAACCTCTAGCAAGATACATGCTTATAAGCAGAGAGAAGAAAAGGTAATTAAAAGTAAAAAGAAAAACTAAACTAGTTTGCCATATAAATACTAACGTCTACATACTATAGCTATAAAAAGTGAACTTGAATTAAAAGCTAAAGTGGCGGACGGCTTTATTAAAAGATGAAAATGTGTTTAGAAGATGAAGCAGCAAAAATCTTGAAAACTCACTGAAAATGAACACTGAACGTCTGTGTTATTCTAGGAAACTATCTTACCTGAAAAAAGTTGTTGATTTCTGTTCTGAAGACAAACTTTGATAGAGGAACCCCAGAGGGCTTATAAATCTCAGTGGCGGGTCCTTTAAATCTCTTCTTGATGGCCTTTCCATCGATATTTTCTTTTACATCAATTTTCACTTTGTAGCACTTGGATGCGGAAATTCCAATCTCTATCTTGATAACATCTACGGTGTATTCATTCACCCGCATCGAAGAATAATCGACGGGCTTATCGTTCTCTCCAATACTTAATGGAGGTTCACCTCGAAACATGGTTCCTCTTCTCTCGTACTCCATGTTAGCAGCTGACCACAGCTGTTCTGTTGTTTGTGCGGATGTTGAACGTTTTGAGCCTGCCCGTCGGTCGTTTGCTGAATCATCGTGGTTAAGGACCTTTCCCAGAAGCTTTATTGTGTCTGTCCTGTAGGCCAGCGGATGGGCTTGGTGCGAATGCCAAATGAGATCAGAGTCAAAACATGGTACCAAGAACGTATTGGGATGCTGTTGCACGAACTTTAGGTGCTGTTTGTATCGTTCAAGAGCTTTCGTTAAAAACTTCTCGTCACCGTAATGGGGTAGGGAAACCTGATAATTAAAGACCCTTTGTCGACTGCATGCACTTACGATATCATATTGGATTCTTGACACATGTGGCACGTTACTGGCAGGGGCACTCAGGTCAACATCAAAAGGCTCATTGTCGTACAATTCGCTCCACAAGCGCCTCCAGTGTTCACGCGCCCAAATTTGCCTAATTCCTACAAGAACTTTATGGTCCACGAACGTAGAAACAATTTCGTTGCAATCCCTTTCATAGCTGAGGGGTGAAAGCATGTGCACGTGCCAAACCCAAGCAATGTCAAGTGGAGCGGCTGCTGGTACATTTGGGGACTGAGCAACTAGTGGAAGCCAGAATAATTCATATCTAAACACCAAAGTAAAAACACCCGTGTGAGAAGGTAAGACAAGATAAGATCTGGTAATTTATTTTCTTTCTCTTCAAAAAAATCTTTTTCTTTCAAGTACCCTTAATTCAGTTCACAGGTTTTTCCCACAATATTCTTGGGAAGCTATAGTTCATCAACCAACAGCTTCCACAGGCTTCCTTGGCATTAATTGACATTTTGAATATTTGTAACATTAATTAAAGTAATATATGTATAACATCAATTGATATGTTGTCAGACTATAATTCCAAAATAATGTATTATATGTAATTTATGACAAAACAAATGAAATGAAATGAAATTAACGAAATATTATTTAACGTCAAACACATAGGGAGTGGTTACCCAGTCCCCTGACCCAGAAACTCATTGAAGCTAAAACCTAAGAACTACGCATGCTAAAAACTAAGAACAAATTCAATTAAATAAACACCGCCTATGTCTACATTAAATAAATGATAAGTAAAAAATCAGTGTCATGCCATTCAAAATAGATCGAAATAAAAATAAAAAACGTTTGATAGTTTAAGTCCAGAATCTGGGAAATGAAAGGAGGTAAATATACAAAGACCCTCGCCAAGGTTCGGGTCAGAGGAATATTTCGTATACGAGATATCGGAAGAAATGTTTTACCCAAATTTATAGGAATTTGTATGGAGACGTCATGCTGGTGCCCACCTGGATGGGCTCTAACATGGCGGACGGAAACCGACAGAAACATCTGTTACCGAGTTTTGCTACAAAGGCGTGAATTTATCCCTCGAGGAACTCATAAACATTAAAGTAATACTTATTCTAATAAGTAAACTGTTTAAATTGCAAAATTTCCCAAAAAAAGTCACTTTTGTAACCTACGTTACAGCCCTCCCGGCCGTCATATAAATGACGCGTCACGCAAAAGCTTAGAAATTAAAGCGTACTCAAACACAAAACCAAGAACCCTTTTGAAGCGAAAATTTGTATGAACATTAGTTTTCAGCTGCTCTAATACATCATGAAAGTAAAATCTCAGTAGATCGATAGTTTTGTAATTTCAATTCTAGTGACGTCATGTGAAAACCAACAATACTCAGTGTATCAGTAGTATGTGTAAGTTATAAGAAAAACACCAAAATATTTTCCCCTTTCCTTCCCTTTGATTCTTTATTCTAAAACAAGTTAACATTAGCTCAGCATGTTTTTTTATTAGTGTATTTTGCCCTATTATGGCAAATCCAAGGTGCCTTATCCCAGACGGCAATCATCGCAGGTCATGATAAACTACTTACGTCATTTGACGTCATCAAGTTCCATGAACTATGAAAATTTTAAAATCTATGACAGTAGAAGTCAAAGGGTACTGTAAGGCCTGCATCAGAAATTGTCATAACATTACTTGATGACGTCAAATAATGAGGATAAAAATCAACATGAATGATCGTGAAGCAAGCACCGCCTATTTAATATCATGCTTAACGTATTACGCCTTAATTTTGGCGCGAAATTTTTTCAGCGTTAAATATAATTTCACATGTGAAATTACAAAATTATGGCAGTCTTCCGTACGTCCCAGTGCCAAGATAAAGACAAAGTTTTAAGCCCACCTTGCAAACGGACGCAACATTGTTGGCCAATAACTCCCAAGATTGTTGGATGTTACGTGTTGCGCCCGTTTGCACACCCTGTTGCATGTTGTTGCATGTTTTTTTAAAGTTGTTACGCAAAGTTTGAAATCGGTCAAACGTTTAGCTCCGTGCAAACGGACGACACAAAACCTCCAAAAATTGTTGGGCCAACAATGTTGGGAGTTGCTGCGTACGTTTGCACGGAGCTTTAAAATTTTATGAATGAAGACGCCAGGGCATTAAAAAGAGCACAACGAGAAGGCCTCTAACAGGTATTTGTCAAAAAGTTCTGAAAATTCTAAACTGCAGCCAAATTTAAGCTCTAAACGTTCTAGTGCGTTGAGTTCTCGATCGATACAATAAAACTCAGGATAAATATGTCAAAAATCCACGATTGATTACACATACTAACATTAGTAACCCATGAATGAGACAAGAATATGAGACCTGCGAGGAGAGGTCTGTATAGCACTCCACCTGCTCGTAGCCCGACACCCTCTGTCAAACACGCGGTACGGTATTTTGCAATTTACAACATGACTGTTATGGGACGGTTTTACTTGGAACATGCTAACTTCCTCTCTTGGCATGCGCTTTTGATCACCTAGCATGTTAAAAAGCGCACTATAAATGAATAAATTATTATTATATAAAAAAGTAATTGTCGCACCGAAATACACGTATTGGCCCAACAGATAAAAAAAGTCAATTTCGATAGGTTTTTTAAGACAAACGATCAAAATAGACACTTGGCTTCCACCAGTCTCATGCATTGTTAAACAATCACTTCATTCCGTTCATACCTCCTGAGTGCGTTTTGAGCGTGCGGGCCACCATACAAACACGGATACTTGTCTACCCTCATTAAAAACTCTTTATGGGCAATGGCTGCCTTCAATAGGTCGATGCTGTCACACATGGCAATTTGTCTCGATTCACCACCATTAACATCAATTAGATTGTGTCACAAGTGATACACCTGAAATCATAACGAAAGCGCGGAGGTATCAGAGGGATGTCAACACTCAAAGAGAGGCTAAAAAAAATACATGAAATAATAGACGCCATAAATGGACAACAATTTGTAATAGCTATTGATGAATTCCAATCACCTAATTATTGTAAAACGAATAATTTAATTACCTAATAATTGTAACCGAAAAGTCGTAAAGAAGCAACTGATAAAGAGGGAAAAATTGAATTACTAATAAGAGAAACTAATCATTGATTTATGCTTCTTTTGTGCTACTGTTGAAACCCAATTGCAACTAGTGAGTTCGGGACGACAGAATTACTAAGTATGAACTGGGACTCAGTGCCTGAATATGCCAATCTATTAGTCCATTTTAAGCCCCAATATTATGTGGAGTAAGAACAATGGCCTGTGGTTTGTGGTTTTTGAACACGTTGTTAGTATTTTCACTTCTTTTCAGTGATTTCTGATGGTGAAGACAATCGTAATGGTCGCGATCTTAGATTTCACAAAGTTAACGTAGTGTTAGTTAAATTTCAACTCTAATTCTTTGTTTGTCGTTGAAAACAGGTTCGAAAAACCGTTTAAATTCGCGTTACTTGTGACGTCACGTCTCCTAGCAATATTAACCGACTGTCATTAAATGTTGCTAAAAATGAATGTTTGTTAGGCACGGAAGAAGTGCTAAAAGCAAGACATTTACAACAAATAAAAGTCGAATTGGTTTCAAAAATTATCTTAAATAATCCATGTCCAGAAACCCCAGTGCATGCCCTAGCGTAACTAACATTCGCGAACACAGACAGCCGGTATTATTGGGCTTTTTCATTTGCAGTATTTTAAAAAATCGTTTTCTCAATCAATATCTAGATTCAACGTCACTGAGAAAAATATCAATCAGCATTGAAGTCTTCAATTCGACAATTTTCTGATAATCCCGATCTCTTGAGGATCATTCATAAACACGTGTAAAGATTCTACTTTTTCGGCGCGAACTCAAGACGATCAACGCTAATATTAGCCTCTCTACGAAATGCAGAAGTTTTAAAAATACATTAATGAATGAAACTTTTGTCATACGTTACCTTCTTATTTGCCTTTTGAAATCTTGTTAACTATCTCCAAACAGTCCTAACAGCATCGCATCGGGATACAGACTTACTAAACACATGACGGTGTAGTATTATGAATGATGGAAACTGAGCAATAAAGTGTTACACGTATGACTAACCATTTACAAACAATACTGAGTTGTGCTGCGGAACACTGCGGAACCAATTACACTAGCTCAGCACGTTTTAGAGTCAGTGTTTCAGTTGTCATTAATCAAAGAAGGTTGTGGCATGACGGTGCAAATGTTGACAATGCTTTTTAAAGGTTTCATCTCAAGCCGACATTCTATTGATTTTCCATTTTTATTAATTTGGCTAGAATTCGGCTATTTCCAGTCAGCATAGAGGAATCAAAATCAAACAACAAACACACCATTTAGTTTGTACGTTTCCCCTCTTGGCAGTTATATTTTTAAACAAGGAAGTCTGTATAATATCAATATTAAGCTATATTAGCTCGGTTTTATATATAAGCTGCACTGAGTCAAGTGGAGTAAAATCACTGGCCTACGGTATGTGCACGGTTTTGCATATTTTTTCACGTTCTTTCCGTGATCTTTAATAGCAGAAACAATTGAATTCTGTTAACGATCTTGGATTCCACAAAAATGAAAAAGGAAAGAAAAAAAGAAAAGTATAATATAGAAAAACGTTCTCGCATTTTTTGTAGAACAAATTTTAAAACGTTTGGCATACCATTGTTCAAAACATGTTTTGAACTTGTTTGCACCTCTAGACATTATTAACAATATGGTAAGGGCAGATATTTGTTAGCTTTTATATCTTTGATACCAAGAATCACCTTCGATCAGCATCGAAGTCCCATAAAAGAAAATAATAGCTAAATAACACTACTGAGTTGTTCCTAATTGGATATATTTATCGATGGTCCCCATTCAAGCTTTATTCATGAACACGTGAGAGGGAACTATTATAAACTGCTTTGATAGATTATTGAAAAAATTCAGATTTGGCATTCGAAGAAAGCCCGGATGGCGGTTGTTATAATCTGCGCTCCTCAGTGAGCTGTGGAACTTGTAATGCTTTCGCGGTAATTTTTTTTATCTGTTGTAATTTGTTCTAATTTATTAACAAAAATTGTCAGTCGCAATTTGTGATAAACAATGCTGTGGCAATTTGAAAAACCTTCGTTTTAATTTCTAATAATGTTTGTGACCACATAGGAAAGCAACATTAATGACGATCAATAAAGGTGAGTTATATTTGTCTAGAGGGTGAGATGATAAGTTCGACGCTTATTCTACATGTAGCTTATTATGAGAGCCAATGACACAAACCATTTTTTTGAAAAAGAAAAAAGCCTGGTGCTGGAAGAAGGACCGTTTACTTAGTATAAGCAATTAAGCTAAAGAAACAATTATGATTTCTCTTCCTTAACCCTCGGACGTATAAGACGGTAGTATAAAACTTAAAGGGGGGTGGATGCCAACCCCCTTTAGGTTTTTCTGAGTTTTCTCCTAGAGGATAAAACATCAGCACCTGATGTTTTCAGTAGCTGTTCTTTCATCCCCAGCGCGCATTTTGAGCCAATTTCAGTGACGGTTAGTTTCTATGGTTACGAGATGTGACGTCATAAGTAGGAGGTGGTCAAGCCATTTTTGAGTGAAAGTACATGTTTTTTCAACTTTTTTCAACAATAATCTTATGGCTGACATAATGCAAAGTGATTATTTATGTGTTATTTTTCATGGCAAGCACAAAAAAATCACCATTTCTCGCGGTTTTAACCTAATTGTTGGTTTTCACATGACGTCACTAAAATTCAAACTACAAACTATCGATCTACTGAGATTTTACTTTCATGATGTATTAGAGCAGCTGAAAACTAATTTTCAAACAAATTTTCGCTTCAAAAGGGTTCTTGGTTTTATAATAGAGTACGCTTGAATTTCTACGCTTTTGCGTGACGCAGCATTTACATGACGGCCGAGAGAGCTGTCATTTAGGTTAAAAAAGTGACTTTTTTCGAGGAATTTTGCTATCTAAACAGTTCAAGTATTAGAAAAAATATTACTTTAATGTTTATGAGTTCCTCTAGGAGTAAATGCACGCTTTTGTAGCAAAACTCGGTAACAGATGTTTCTGTTGGTTTCCGTCCGCCATGGATGAGCTCCAGCATGGCGTCTCCATACAAAGCTCTATAAATTTGGGTAAAACATTTCCTTGGATATCTCGTATACGAATTATTTCTTCGACCAAAATCTTGGCGAGGGTCTTTGTATATTTACCTCCTTTCATTTCCCAGATTCTGGACTTTATCTGTCGAATGGTTTTGATTTTTATTTTGATATACTTTGAATGGCGTGACACTGAAAACCAGCAATTTCTAATTCTTGGTAAAATCCAAGATGGCGACCAAGATGGCGACCATTGTTAGTGACGTCACAGGCCCCTCCCTAGATTAATGTCTTCGAGGGGAATATAGGGTTCAGAATATAAACAACAACTGCGTTTAAGACTAGAAGCAAATATAATAAATCAGTTTTATTTGAACGGAATTATACTGAGTCACGCAACAGAAACTTAAAACTTGTTAAAATTCTCTCTCGTCCCTAGTCAACTGTGTATAACGGGGGTGGGGTGCGGGTAAATTGAGTTTGCCGCCTTGACATGAACTTTTTCTTTATTGCTAACTGTGGCTTTTGTTAAAACTTCCTTGGAGTGAATAAGAGGTATATTTATGAGTCAGTTTATGTTTACCATACTTTGCGAAAAGTAAGATATAAAGATGAACTAGCACATGGTCGCACATGGCTTCGCAAAAATGCTGTTGTTTGTCTAGCGATAACCCATGGAGGGTCACAAAACTAGACATTTTTCATTCCTTTATTAGCTATCGAGAGGAAAATTGCAGGACGACGTCGTTTTGAAAAGACCAGGGATTGAAAAATGTGTGAGACACGAAGTCGATCCTTTCTACCAATCATAGCCCGATCAAGCCCCCTTCCCTTCATCCGTCACTTTATTTATATTGAAACTGAGAGCAGTTTTTGAAACGCTTATTTACTTTGGCACCATTTTTCTGTACTTACTGTCTGGTAGTACGAAAAAACTAGGGGGAACTAGGGGAAGCGGAGGAAAATAAGTGGGAACTAGGGGAAAGAGATTGACTAGGAACAGGAGCCCATAACCCATAAGGTTGTTTATTCGGTTCCTCGTAAGGAGAAGAAACGCATGCGCAAACCTTTCCATGGGAATCTCAATGATACATAAGAATTTGAAAAGCGACAAGTTGTAAAAGGTGTTTCATATTCAATACAAATAGGGTGGTTTGTTTTATTAATACAACAGCGTGATTCGCAACAGGCTGTTTGTTAATCCTGCTCAACTGGCCGAAAATATGATACGAAAACTGAAAGAAAAGCGAGGAAATTCTCCATCTTCTGCCGTCCTCGAGGGTGCTATAATTATTGCATTCATGGTATTGGCGCTGATAATTTTGGGGTGAGCCTGTCTTGATGACTTCACAACGGACACAGTGCCCGTGAGACTGTTTTGGTTTACTTTGATTCCTGGTGCTGTTTTGTACCAAAAACATTTCCGCTACTGCTATGACATGTAACATTGAACCTTACGTACAATGTATATGGAGTATTGAAACTGAATCAAATGGAAGGAGATCGTGTTGTTTTGACGAATCCTGTGTTTGTCAGCTAAATTATTTACTGCATTACGACTGCCTTAATGTACACGAAACACAAAGTCTCTTGGATCATCAAAAGACCTTTTGAGCAGTTTGTTTTTCAACGACGTTTTATTTCACAGTCAAGAATATCTACACGCGAAAAGGGAAATAAGATTTGGAAGTTTACTCGGACATTAAATACCGATCTGTCACAACGTCAGCCATTACTTCTTACCTGGTTAATAACGTGCAATACTACACTTTACAAAACCGCCAAGTTCTGTAACTCAAATGATCTTTAATTTTGTAAGAGGTATAAAACCAAGGGCATAGCGTAAGATTTTGAAGGTGTACGCTCGCGGGGAAGAAAAGTTTTAGCACCAAAAAAGGAGAGTCGGGGAACATGCTCCCGCAGAAAATTCTTAAATTTATGGTCTCAGCGGAAATGCCATTTTTAGCTTTTTCCACAGGATATTTTTAACAAATTAATATGGAGGAAAATGCAGTAGTGGTTTATTTTATTCATCTCTAGGGCTGTCGAAGGTGCACGGTTTAGGCGAAAAAAAAAAAGGTCAGTGACGCAATCAGAATTACGGAATAAGATGAAAGGGACAAAGGAAATACTAACACGAAGACGTAAGAGGGTATGGACGCTACCTTGATATAATTAGAGAACGTTACCAAATTCAAGTATCATAGACCGGCCAACCTCTTCCCCACGGCTTTTCCCTTGATAGACCGGCATCTTACTTGGCATGACCACATTGAACAACTACAAAGTAGAATAGCAACGAGACTAGGTGTCTTAAAACGAATCAAGCATCTTCTCCCAGTTTATGCAAGAAGGATCTATGTGTCAACAATGGTCATTTCTATTCTTGAATATGCAAGTATCGTATGGGTTTACAAAAATAACATAGTTTTAATGTATTCTATCCAAGTTCTTCAGGATAAAGCAGCCAAGCTAGTTCTGGAGCAAGCGACGCATTCTTCTTCAACCGAAGCACTTCTAGATCTGAACTGAATGAATCTATCAGCCAGAAGATTAATGCAACGATGTTTTTTTATGCACAATTTTACTAATGACAGTGAATACTCGAGACTCAGACTATCATAGCCATAACACCCGCTCCAAGGAAACTATTAGATTTATTAGATCAAACACGAACTGGGCTCTACTCAGATCTTTAATAGTGTATTGACAGACTGGAATTCCCTTCCTGAAGACATGAGATGTCTACCTTAAAATGCTTTTAAAATTTCATTACTTAAAGATTTTAAATCTCAATACGTTAGCTTAGTGTGACGTTTTTTTAGTTCACCTATTTTAATATCTTGTAATTTTTAGTACTGTAGGTTTTTAGCTTTTTATGCAGTGCCCCAGTGCCCTATTGAAAACTACATTATGTGACAAAGGCCATCTGTAAAAAGAACTTTATTACATGGTAATAATTTTTATTATTAAGCAGTTTTCAGTTTCCGTTAATTAGTAAACGCAGAAATGCGGCGCCAGCCTTCAGGGCGGAAAAACGTAATGAGCATGCGTGAACGTTTTTGCCCAGATCCTCTGGCCGGGTTTGAAAAAATGGCGGAATTTCAAAGTTTTTTTGCCTAATAATAAAATGTTTCCATTCATAACCTGGAAAGGACAAGCAATGTGTGTTCAAAAGTTGCAAGCTGTGGTTAATAAACTTCTTATTACTTAATGTTCTCGAGGAATACCTCATATTAAAACGGACTTTAACGACATTAATGTCCATGCAAGAGTAGCTTTGTAAAGGTTTCATCATTGTTCCTGTTTGTTCATTTTATCACCTTCAGTTGCTAGCCGTCTTTAGTTGGTTGATCTCATTTAGGCTGCATTATCCTCATCGTCATCACCATCGATCATCAATCATGATCATCGCGGCAATACAACACCTGCAGTGTTAACATCATCGTTACCCACTGTTTTGACCATTTCCGTAATCATTTTAGCAACCACCACATCCACCGTCACCACACCCACCGCCATCACACCCACCGTCATCACACCCACCGTCATCACACCCACCGTCATCACACCCACCGCCATCACACCCACCGTCATCAAACCAACAACCGAAACTAAATAATGAATTAGAAACTATTGTTGTAGAATAAGCTTTCCTTTCCCTTTCCATTTCCCTTTTCCTCTCCCTTTCCATTTTCCTTTTCCTTTCCCTTTCCCTTTCCCTTTCCATTTTCCTCCTATGCGATTCCAAACATCTTGCACAAGTGGTTCTTATAATGTGATTCTTAAACTTGTCGGCGTCGTAACCGACTGCCACTGCGAACCTCAAGTTTCCCGGAATTTTTATCTTTGTAGGGTAATTGCTACAACGACAACTTGGGTCATAATAAAGTGTTTCGTTTAAAATTGGCTGACAAAGGACAAAGAGGATTGCAATAGCAAACCCAAGTGCAATTGTTTCTGGTATGTAAGAAACATCTGGAGGAATAACAATGATACCATTCCTAAGGTCCACACGAAAGGGCATTTTATTGCTGAGCTCTATCGAAAATTCTTCTGGGTTAGATACAACAGATTTCCATTCTTGTTTCTCAATAAGAGAAAAGAATTTTATGGCACATCGATTTTCCCACCTACCGATACAGATCCCCCAATCTTTACTTCCTCTAATCAACATAGCTCTTTCGTTGTCCTCTAGGGTACAACATCCTTTCCGGTCATTCATGACTTGCTTCCAGCTTGGAAGAGTACTCCTTTGGAGAAGATGTGCTGTACTTACAATATCTCCAGCATTGTTGATGACTACTACAGACACTGGGTGATTTCCTCGTCCCATTCCCCCCTTGTGCATTACTCGACAGGAAAAAGCCAGGCGATCATGGAAGTCAAATACCTTCTGCAGCTGGCATTCTACCGATGGCGTAAAAGATAAGGTCTTGAACACAGATAACATTGGAGTGCTTAAAATGGTTGCAGCGTCACTCATGTCGCTTAGACTTTCCTCCGGTTTGATCCTAAACCGATACTCTCTAGGCGAAGGCGGATGGACAACAGCAGTAATTTTAACATAGTTTTCACTTGAGAAATACTCCCTCTGTGTTATGACCTGTGGAGCCTCAAGACGTCTCTGTATGAACGGCTCCAATTTCAAAAGGCAACGTTGGTCTGATTCCTCAGCCATTCCCACAAAACAGCACCCAAGTCGACGTTTCCGGTACATTTCAACCTGTGCCGTAAACAAGTACACATTTCTGAGTTATTTAACAGGATTCTGTTCAAAGACAAGTTACATTAACCAGAAACCAATCAAGAATGTCACCATAACATAGTAGCAGCTACTAATAGTCTACTCTGCCGCTGTGCAAAGTATTTCTAACACCGAAACAGGAAATGGGTCTCATTTTCAACTTGGTTTGATTCACACAATTCGCCCCACGTAAGGGAATCCAAGCCAGTCTTACATTCCGGATTTCACGCCATGGATTCCGGAATCCAATTGCTGGGTCCCAGATCTTTTCAGTGGAACTTGGATTCCGGATTACAGTTGTTAGTGGGATTCTGGATTCCTACTGGTGTATTCAGATTCCAAGGCCCAGGATTCTGGATTCCAATTTTTAGTGGGATTCTTGATTCCCACACGTGTATTCGGATTCCAAGGCCCAGGATTCCTGATTCTAATTTTTAGTGGGATTTTTGATTCCCACAGCCGTATTCGGATTCCACAGGCAACAATTTCCAAGATTCCGGATTCCACATGGGCACATGATCGACCTGATATCGACCTATTTCAATCATAAGTTTGTGATTAGACAAATAGATTAGGTCTCTCGTTTGCTTGATCAGCTTAATGGATAGGACAGAACTTAGCATCCAGTCAATCGCATGGGTCAGGGCTCGATTTGCTTTGGTCACTAGTTCATTCACCGTCTACGTGAGTCATTTCATATATTCCTATTCATGTTTTATGGAGTAATATATCTCCTATAAAGAAACTTTGAGGGAAAATATAAAAAATAAACCATGACTGATTGACTGATTGATTGATTTGTGGATCGACTAAGACCTCTAGAAGTTTAGAATGCCATCATACCTGAAAGAAATTGTTGGTTTCTTTTCGGCATACGAACGTTGAAGGACGATCAGGAGGAGGATGAAAAATATGGGCAGCAGGTCCTTTAAATTTCTTCACGATGAAGACGTTTCCACTGTCTTTTTTGCTTACATCAACTCTCAGTTCATACCAATTGGATTCAGAAATTCCAATCTCTATCTCCAGAACATCTATTGAGTACTCATTTATCAACGTCGAAGAGTAATCGACGGGCTTACCACGTTCTTCAATGGTTAATGGAGGTTCACCTCGATACAAGCTTCCATTTCTTTCATATTCCATGTTAGCAGCTGACCACAGCTGCTTTGTTGTTTGCGCGGATGTCGAACGTTTCGAGCCTGGCTGGCGATCGTTAACAGAATCATCGTGACCAAGAACTTTCCCCAGGAACTTCATACTGTCAGTTCTGTAAGCCAGCGGATGAGCTTGGTGCGCATGCCATATGAGATCGGAGTCAAAACACGGGACCAGGAACGTACCTGGATGACTTTGAGCGAACCGCAGATGTTGTTTGTATCTTTCAACAGCTTCTTTAAGAAACGTCCTGTCTCCATAATGAGGTAAGGAAACCTGATAGTAAAAGACTCTCTGGCGACTGCATCCAGCCACGATATCATATTGGATTCTTGACACGTGAAGTACGATACTGGCAGGGGCTGACAGGTCAACTTCAAAGGGCTCATTGCCGTACCGTTGGTGCCATAGGAGCTTCGCCTTTTGAAGTCCAGCTTCCCGCTCTTCTCCTACAAGGATTTTATGGTCCACCAATGTTGAGACAATCTCGTTGGAATCCCTTTCATAAGCGAGAGGTGAAAGCATATGCACGTGCCAAACCCAAGCAATGTCAAGAGGAGCAGCAACTGTTGCATCTGGGAACTCAGCGATTAGTGGAAGCCAGAAGACTTCATATCTAAACCCAAAATAGAAACATCCCATGTAAAAAACTACTTGAAAAAAAAAATTAATAATAACCCTGTCAAGGCAGGTGATAAGAGAAGGGGTGGTGCCCTGAATTCAAATATAGTTGATTTAACATGTATGCATTCAGTTAATCCCACTTTTAAAAAAATTTATTTCAGATGGCTGATCCAAGATGCAGTCCTTACGACCCATGAAGCCCCATCCATACCAGTGCAATGTAGTCTGCAATCATATCCTTGCCTTTCGCTTTGTTTGCAAGTCACGTGCACTTACTAAGAATTATTTTTGCTTCGTCTATGTTTAGGTTCTTTGCCGTAGCTTGCAGCCAGAAATTACGTAGGAAGATGGAGTCTCTCCTCTCTAGTCCCAAATATGAATTTGCAGGGGCACCCAACGACAATGCTTGGAAAATATCTGTTCGGAAGACGATTTAAGATCCAGATTTTTCGGAACATTTGTTGTAAATGTCTTGCTTGCCTGCCTCTCCTAGGATTTTCGAACTTCTGAAAAATGGTATTATTGCCCATTTTGAACGGATTTTTACACTGAAAAGGTCACCCAGAATTTTCGGGAGCCTTCAGTTTTCTGGCTGAAATTTTTGAAAAGGTAAGTTTTGATCCCTATAATTTTCACATCACTAGACTAGGGGATAAAAATATGCCTATATCTACGGTTTAAATACTAAAATACGTTCAACAATGCTATGTTTAAGTGCTTTGAACTATATTCTCGTTGGGTACCCCTGAATTTGGTCTTTAATATTTATCAAATTCCTAGCCTCTGTAGCCTGCCCCCGGGGAGAGAGACCCGTTTTTTTTTCTGAGGGGAGGGGAGCGCCTGTACCCAGGGTAACGAAAGTCGCCCTGTAAGACCGTGCCTCCTCTCATATTTTGTTCGTTATTACAATTTCACCACCCTTTTTTCAAATGGCAGCCTTCAAAATATATTTAGGGAGTTTTTAAGGCTGGACAAGATGAAAAGGAGACGAAAAATATTCTCCCATGTCCCTGGCTTCACCAGGCGGTTTTAATAAGGTTCAAAAAGTACACTCCAGTCATACCTTCTGACTGCGTTTTGAACATGTGGGCCAACATACAGGCATGGATGTTCATCTACAAGCTTTAAGAACTTTCTTTGGGCGATGGCCGCCTCCAGCAGGTTGATGCTAACTATTTCCTCTTTTGACATGACAACTTGTCGGCTCGATTCACCAATATCTTTTAATGTAAATTACATAAATTAGCAAATAAAAGCCCAAGTATGTTAACTACTTTACATCTAAAACCCTGATAAAAACGCTGGGGCCACGAACGCAAAAGTTGGTCAAAATGACGCACTTTCCCTCTTCTCCCCCTCGGTGCAGTGTTGACGTTATACCTTTAAGTCTTTTTGAACACAATCAACATTGTTGAGGGAAGAGGGGAGGGGGGAGGAGACGACAGAAATAGGCTCTTACAACAACATTTCCGATCATGTGTAAGATGGAAAATACGAGTTTAATTAGAAGCGTGCGAATTAGCACCTAATTTCCTCATGTCTCAAGATGTTTTGACCAGGGTTGTAGTCCTAATTGTTGCCGATCAATTTCTGTATCTACAGATCACGCATACGACATGAGCTGACATTAATTCTCAAGTGCTCTGAGAGCTGAAAACAAAACCTGGTTTTAAGTTAACCAGTCATGAAGTCAAAAATGACACAAGAATAAAATAATGGGAAAACTGTAAGCAATACTAAATTCAGTGTCTTGTGAACGACAAAGAACATTAAGACTACACTCGCGGCATTCATCCTTTGGCTTAAGAAACAAGAAATATTAAACCACTTGCAATTGACTAACCAGGCCACTCCCTGTTTCTAGTCATGAATTTAACGAAATTATAACCAGGCTGGAAGTAAGCTTCAACTTCTAGGCAATTTTAAGACGGAAGTAAAAGCAGCAATATTAGTCGCGTTTGTTGAACATATACTTTAAATGTTAAATATGTAATCCAAAGTCATTTGAAAAGATGAAACAATATCTTTGTAGAATTCGTCCCATATCAAACCACAGATATATTTCACAAAATCCGGCTTTCTACGGTGTTGTTATTTAAATACGGCGGTCCTTACTTTATCAAGAGCCTCCCTTCAGATTAAAGATCATTAAACCATGTATAAATGACATGAAAATTAGCTATTAAAAAAAGTTCCACTGATTATCAAATTCTATGTAAACCTTACTTCTAACATCCCTGTCTGCACTGAGACAAATATTATGTCGCCCCACTTCTTATTGCCTTCTGAAACCTTGCTATTCACAAGGAGGTCAGTTATAAAACCTCCAAACAACAGTGCTCGATGGAAAGAACACTGAAAGAAATGGGAAAACGCTGAAACCGTTGTCACGGGACTTATCTCCCTAATTTATGAAAAATACTATAAGCTAGTGGAAGTCCTATATATCTTTCCAATGATTTTTGAAGGGAAACCGATATTTAACCCGATTTAGCCAAATGTATCCTTTACGGGATAAGTCAAAAATAATACTAATAAACAACATTTAAAATATAAAAAGGAGAAGCATGAAAAATGATCTTGATTGATTGCTGACAATGAAATTTTATCTGATCAAGTTGAAATGAATATTGACGTATATCGTTGTAGGAAGCTTTTTAGGTCCTGGAACATTTTAACTGTTCATTAATAAGTTTGAAATAAGATATAAAACACATTATTTTGCTAATGAACTCTATATTTAGAAGAATAAATATTAAAAAGTGTGCTTCCCTGCATCACGCACGGAATCAGAACATGTGCGTCATTCTTTAGTTGGTTACTAGCCAAAGAAAACTCCCATCTACACCCCCATGTACCTCTCAATCACTCTTTCTGCATTCCATGACTTTAGGACTTTAACTAAGTTAAGACTTTATCATTTCCTGTGTTCGTGAGTAAATAAGGTTTTTGAGAGTGGGACATCATGTCTCCTGACTTGATGTCCCTCGGAAAATACTTATCTTTTAATGGACACTTTTAGTAATTTACAAAGGAAACTTGAGTTTTAAGGCTAGTGTTTGCTGACAAAGTTTTCCGTTTTTAGGGATTGATTAATTAAAGGTAGGAAGTTTTGTCCCATCTATTTATCTTGTTTCCAAATTTATGAATATGGGAGTTGTCCTTTGTATACCATTAACGAAGTTTGTATCTTTGAGTTTTACCTTTAAAGGGTCCAAACAAGTTTAAAGTAACTTGCAAAAGTGTTTCTTTTACTGAACTTTACTTAGTTAGTTTTCATTAGTAGTTATTCTGCTCCAGAACTGAAGAAAAGCTTTTTAAAGAAATTTTAGGTTACGAATTAATCGTATGCTAATTAGAACGTAAATGTATCCTACGCATTGTTATTAACATGAACATATTATGGACAACCAAACAAATAAATAGAGAGCTGTTGAAAAGTAAGCTTTTAGAAGAAGGAGTAAGCAGTTATAGAAAAAGAGGAAGAAAGAGAACTACCAAGAAGAGGGTCAATTTGAGGAAAGACATTGCTAAGGAAGTTGAAGAATTGTGAAGTGAAAGAGTAAGTCACTCAGAAATAAAATATATTAACATGGCACTTATTTGGTTGTGAGAGTCACTGACACCACTCTGGAGTAACCCCCGTGTCACCGTGCTCAATGATTTACGAACAACGCTGCAGAATTGTGTAGTGATTGGACAGACACTTTTGCAGGGAATTACAGTATGAACATCTATGCGACTCTTTACTTTAGAAACTGGCGTAGCGCAGTTTCGCTCTGTCACAAAAATCGCACCAAAGTCACCTTCCTTGTCTGTGAACAAAAGCCCTATCCTCGACCTATCCAGTTTGATTTTCGTGGCGTCGCAAAAGCTATTCAGTGTAGTGCGAACGGTAAACCCAGCCTTAGTAAAATACCACCGCATTCAACTACTCACAAAGCGGGTTTTCAATGTACATTTAGGAACATTAAGCGAGGACAACGACGACAACAGTGAAAACGTCTATGAAAAAATAAATTTGCGTTCTTTCAAACTTATTCGCGTCTATTTGGACCCGCTCGATATGTCAAATGCAGGTAACTTTTTCTGGAGTTGAATTCTTAAGGATTTTATTCAGGTTCAAAAAGAGGAAGGAAAATTCGTCGTCGTATGTCCACGTCCTCCGTAAAACGGCAAATTAGGAGGTTTCACGTCGTAGTCGTGCTATTGTTTTTTTGAGGTCGTCGTTGCGGTCGTTGTCGTCCCGCTTAAGCTCCCTATTGACTTACCAGTGTAACTTTAACTAATCTAACAGAAAATTAACTATTTACAATCAGCAATTTCTAATTAAACCCAGAGTGAATTTAAATTTTCTTTAAGGCAATGGAAGTTTTGCTAATATATAAGTGAATGGAACGTTTGTCTTGCCTACCTTTGTTTGCCTTTTGAAACCTTGTTATTTATCTTCAACAGTCCTCACAGCATCGCATCGGGACACGGACTGACAGTGTGGTATTTTATATGGGAAGAAATAGTGTTTAACTTATCACCGACCACTGACAGACAATACTGAATTGTGTTGCGGAATCAATGACACTTGCTCAGGATGTTTCAGAGTCAGTTTCAGTTGTCATTAATCAAAGAAGCTTGAGGGATGACTCGGACATGACGATACAAATATCCGGAAAACGTTTGCCACTAATTTTCCTGTACGATATGTCCTTCATTACGTAAATTAGGAAGAAAGAACATCAAGCCAAACATTGATTTCCATTTTGTTCTCTAAATTACATTCAGCTATTTCCAGTCAGCAAAGAGGAATCAAAATCAAACAGCAAACACACCATTTAGCTTGTTTCCACTCTGGGCAGTTACGTTGTTATACAAGGAAGTCTGTAAAATGTCAATATTAGCCCGGTTTGATAAGCCGCGATATCAAGTGGAGTAAAAACACTTGCCTACGGTATGTGCACGGTTTGCACATTTTTTCACGTTCGTTCTGTGATCTATAAAAGAAAAGACAATCGAACTATGATAGATATCTTGGATTCTACAAAAAATGGAGATAAAATTTAGCCATTTTCATTTTTTGATGAACAACGATTCGAACAGCCCTCACCTTTGCTCAGAACATGTTTTGAACATACTGAGCTCCTGCATTTACAGTTGTTTAACTGATGACGTCATCACATCACCAGGTTAACTACCGTTATAACATAGTTAGAATAATCGCCTAATCAAAATCAATAGCGCAAGCGTGCTTCCTATTCCCATTGAGCACGCTGATGACGTCAATAAACTAGAAAAGTTCGAGTTCTTGTGAGGTTAGCAATCCTTCCGAGACGTCTCCCAAGTGCATCCATAACTCAACAGTACACGATGGAGCGTTAATCATGTGTTTTATAACGTAAATTTAAGAGAAAGGTTTGAATTTGTTAACCGATAGTAGCGAAAAGAGGTGAGTGTTTTTGTTGCTGTCATCTGCACGAGCTGTGCGGGCTATGACAAGTGCAAATCATTTCTTTGCAAAGTTATTTCTCTCAAACATAATTTTTCGATGAATTAATAGTCTTCCGGCACCTTAATATGGATTTTACAATCTTTTTGAGTGTTATCTTAAGCGACTTGAGTAAACTTTCTCTCAGTTTCAAGACAAAAGCATTACTGTGGGGTAAAAAAATATAGTCGGTAAGATTGACGCGTACTGCTTTGAGCGCGCGCTACAATAATAAAAATTTAAGTTAACTGCTACATAGATCGCTTCGATAATGTTATACTAGTAATAGTTAACACTACAGCTGCCCCCGCTCTGTCTATAGTATTCTTGCTCCTCGTGTAGCTCTTTGAAATATACCGATTCATAATGAAGATGTTCACACATATCCCATACAATAGGTGAGATAAATACAGGAAATAAACGCAAGGTTCCATGCACAGTTTCGGTTCGATTTACACAGCTTTGATAAAAAAATTCTCAGTTTCGAGAATAGTTTATTCTAAACCATGAGAAAAGATTTAATTAGAAGTTTAGTTTTTCGCTATTTCTATTTTTCTTTTTACATTTAGTTCATTTTATTTGCCGGATAGAAATTAAAAGGACGTTTGATCAATTCACGCTCGCGCATTCTAGTCTTATTTTAAACTTTATAGCCGAAGGACATTTGTGAGCAGGGAATAAGTCAGCACAGAATTTGATGGTCGGTTATGGGCCCGGGTTATGGGCTCCTGTGGTTGGCGAATTTCTGTAAGAGTCCTTCGTTCTTGCTAGTGAGCTAGCCGTTGAATCATTCACTCGTCTTGCTTGTTTTGGGCCGAGTCTTATTCCGGTCAAAGAGAGAGAAAGATTGTCTGGCAAGGTTCAGCTGAAGGTTTTCAATCAAAGATTTGTGAACTCGTTTCTAGCAAACTCACTTAGTGTTTAAAGGTCAAAGAGAGAGAGAAAGAGTGTCTGGCAAGGTTCAGCTGAAGGTTTCCAATCAAAGATTTGTGAACTCGTGTCTGGCAAACTCACTTAGCTTTAAAATAAACACTGTTCGACGCTCCTTATAACTTCATCTGCGGTTAACGAGTGTCTTTTGGTCCATAACCTTCATAACAACTGCTCCACAGAATGTCACTGATAACACGTAACGCAAAAGAGTATCGAATTAATGTCACAACATCTATCTATTGTACGCTGTTCCTTCGGAATCTTTTTGTGTTTTACGTCATCCTAACCATTTCGTACTTGCGGGCACATACAATAGAAACGTCATCATTACCTACCGATTCCTCGCGGCCCCTGTTCAAGCAAATCGAGATTTTTTCTATATTGACTGTAGGAAAGTATATTTCAGCTGTAAGTACTTTCCTTAATATACGCGCGAGTTACTAGTGTGCCTCCTCGGGATTTCGCCTTCTGGGCGAAATCCCTGCGGGGGCAAAAACAATTAGTTCATGCTTAAGCTGTGCGTATGTCGAGATATTGAGCACTTGGGAAGTTTGAAGAGCATTAAAGAGGCTAAAGTTCGCACTCTTTTAGCCTCTTTCGCGATTGTGCTCTCCAAACTTCCCGCGTGCTTAGTATCTCGACATACGCAAGCTGACGCATGAACTAATTGTTAAATAACATTTACGTTTGCACTAGTGCATCGTCTTCCGATCGCGAGGTTAAATTTCATGTGCTTTTAGTATCAATGTCTGCTTAAGGCAATACTCCATTTCCTGGCCACAAACGTACAGTCCACAAAACTAACATTTTAAAAATCTAAACCCACCACTGTTTCTGACCAAATCTTGAACCTCATGGCCTAAACCGCCGTGACGAATTAGTGTAATCCATATCCTTAGTATTTTTCCTTTCCAGTTTTTCTGTACGTTGTACGTCATTTCCGCCTCTCCCTTTTAAACAATTTTTATTGCGACATTCTCCATCTATGTAATATTGTGATTCCTACATAAGTTCAGTAACATCTGTAAACCTGAAGAAGGCTGGTATGGCCAGCCGAAATATTGTTATGAAAAAACAATACACGTTGTTCTGAATCAGCTTTGCAATAGTCTTTTGGACTTCTCGTTTTTGGTTCTTTATGTTTTGGCTGATTAAATCTCTTTTCTAGAGGTCCAACGTTTACAACTAGCGGGATCCTCGTCCACTGTTTTTGCAGTTAATTTAATCTTTTATTATAGGAAGTCGATAAAATGTTATATTATGCCTGTTTAATCAAGCCCCAATATAAAGTGGAGTAAAAACACTGGCCTTCGGTATGTGCACGGGTTTGAACATTTTTCGCGTTATTCTGATACAATGAAGCCCCAGGGCTTATATTTTTCAAAGGCCCTTTTCGAGGGGCTTATTTTTGCAGGGGCTTATATTCAGAGGGGCTTATCTACTGAGGGAAATTTGCCTTTCAAAATCGATTGGGCTAGCCTTATAGTTGAAAGTAAATTTACCGTTTTTGCTTTGTTTTACTTTGTATTTGAGGGCAGTTTTCCAAGTACAAGCCCCCGAGGGGCTTATATTTGGAGGGGCAATTTAACGGAGGGTTTTTTTGTGGCACCGGTTTGGGGGACTTATATTTGGAGGGGCTTCTTTCCGGAATTTTACGGTATCTATCACAGTAGAGACAATGGAATTCTGATAGCGATCTTGGTTTCCACAAAATTAAAAAAGGAAAGAAAGAAAAGAAAAGAAATAATATAGAAATCTAACCATCTTGCATTTTTTGTAGAACATAAAAATTGAACTACTTATGACATCACATCTCAAGAGGAGCAACCAACCCTAGTCCCTTGTTGTCGTTGTTGTTGTTTTTTTTTTAACCTAAAACTTTCGCACGTTCTTTTAGGCGCCTTAGAACAAGGCAGATTCAACCCTTCAGTTCGAGAATCTCTCTGTTTTCTATTTATTGCGAAAAATTAGACTTTGTCTAGTTTACAAGGAGTTGAAAGCAATAATGGTATTGTTTCAATCGCGAAAAAAAAAACTAATTTCATTAACACTAACAACTAAATTTACAAGGAAACGGTGACGTGACCTGTATAATTTGTTGGGATCCATCTTTTTAGCAGAACAAGATTTTCTTTTTCTTCTTTCTCTTCGGATTCCATTCATACACTTTTAGCAACCCGGCAATTAACAATTAATCCTTGCCTCATTTCACATTTTCCTCAATTATGGCTCATCAGACACGTGATCAGAGATATCAACCCTCAAGACAATGAAGGACATCAAATTAGTGGTCCTTTGGACTGGAAATGAATTATTTCCATAAGGGAAAAACATTCTTTAGAGCGAGTCGCGAGTAGAGCACCCCTCACCCTCTACCCAGACATTCAGCTACACTCCGGGTCTCGATGACACTGTCTTTAACCATAGGAACGGAATTTCACCAGTTTTTGATGCCATGTGGGTAAGGGAACAATAACTAATTGCTAAAAAGAAGAGGTTTTGGTTCAAAAGTATTTTGAAAATGCCAGAGAAAAACCTTTGTTAAAGTGGCGTCTACCCCTGCGTACGCAAAAAGGTTGATAAGTAATTAATTTCCAGTCAAATTGTTAATTTACACTTAGTTGCCAAACTATATGTGCATGTGTTAGGGAAATACTCATGGGTAAGTTGGCTTGCTCAAATTGGCGACTTTCTTAAGTTTCATAAGTAGGTTAAGCATGATCGTCCGGGTGAACGTAGTCCTCAATAGGACTACTGCACAGGTTTTCGAAACGTCAGTATCTGTTTACAACAGTCCTATTCAGGACTACGTTCACTCGAACGATCATGCTCAACCTACTCGTGAAATGACTCCTGGGTTGAAACCTTTTACAGTTTTTTAAGTTTGATCGCCAGAGCAAGTTGATGGTACTTCTTGAATTGTTCAAAGTCAACCAGCCCTTGATGAATTGACGCTAAGTGACTGTAGCTCGTTGCGACAGAATCATGCTCTGCTCCAAGCTTCTTCAGTTTGATCGCTAAAGCACGTTGCTGACACACTTCAGCTTGCTCAAAGTCACCGAAGTCCTTGTAAATAGAAGATAAGTTACTGTAGCTCGTTGCCACGGAAACATATTCAGGACCGAGCTTCTTGAGTTTGATCTCCACAGCTCGTTTTTGATACTTTTCTGCTTGATTGAGGTCATGTAATCGCCACAGAAATATGTTTAGCACCAAGCTGTTTAAGTTCGATACTGAGAGCTCGTCTCTGATACTCTTTGGCTTGCGCAAAATCACCTAAGTCCATGTATATAAGAGCAAAGTTACTGTAGCTGGTTGCAACAGAAACATTTTCAGCACCAAACTTCTTCAGTTTGATGTCTAAAGCACGTTGCTGATATTCCATTGCTCGTTCAAGGTCACCAAGGTCTTTGTGAATTAGACCTAAATTGCAGTAGCTCTTTGCAACAGAAACGTGTTCAGTACCGAGCTTCTCAAGTTTGATCGCTAAAGCACGTTGCTGGTAGTCTTTAGCTTGCTCAAGGTCACCTAAGTCTTTATTAATCAAAGCAAGGATACCATAGCTTTTTGCAACCGAAACATGCCCAGCACCAAGCATCTTAAATTTGATGGATAGGACGTGTCGCTGATACTCCATGGCTTGTTAAGGTTGCCCAACTGCTTGTGAATCAAAGCAAAGAAGTCGTAACTCGTTGCAGTAGAAACATGCTCCATTCCATACTTCTTGATTTTGATGGCTCGAGCGCGTTGCTGATACTCTTCGGCTTGTGCAAGGTCATCTAGTTTCATGAAAATTACAGCTAAATTGCTGTAACTCTTTGCGACAGTAACATGTTCACCCCCAAGCGTCTCGATTTGGATTTCTAGGGCGCGTTGCTGATACTCTTTGGCTTGCGCAAGGTCATCTAGTTCCATGAAAATTTTAGCTAACTTAATGTAACTCTTTGCGACAGTAACATGTTCACCGCCAAGCTTCTCGATTTCGATTTCTAAAGCCTTTTGCTGATAATCCTTCGCCTCTTCAAGGTCCCATAAGTCTTTGTAAATTGAAGATAACGCAGTGTAGCTGGCTGCGACGTCAACGTGGTTGACGCCCAGCAGCCGTTGCTGAATTGCGAGGCAATGTTCTACATATTTCTTACCGACGACAAATTCGCAGTGAATTCGGCAAATCTCGCCAAGGTTTTTGAATTTTTCTGCGATTCCTTGGACCTGAAATAGACGCTCTGTGGACAAACATTGATCGATAACTATGTGCAGAGAGTCAATGTGAGGGATGATATTCATCGTGTCCAGCCTATTCTCTGGTGGAATTTCGACAATAAATTGGTTGAATGACGCAACAGCTGCACTTACGATCTCAGACGTCAGCTGACTCCCTTGATAGCCACTCATCACTAATTTGATAGCGTCATGGACAACCTGATGTACACGAATGAAAGTGCCATCCTTTTGTTCTTCTAAAAGTAGCAGTGATCATCCCCTAAAAGTCATGAGAATTAAATCCTTGTCTTCTTCATCAAAGTGTTCGTTTACTTTCGCAATATAATTGATTGCTACGTTAACGTTTAACGGTTGTGGTGCACATATCGATAATAAGCTGAATAGGTCTTTGACGAATTTGTCAGATTTAACCTGTGTTTCGACAGCTAGTGTTATTGCTTTGATCATTGTATAAGGATAAGCAGAGTTTTTATCAGCAAGAGTATGCTCTGTTATTTCTCGTTTGCCTTTCTCTAATAGCTTCAGGTATTCGTCCCAGCCAAAACGCCTTTTTATTTTGTCCTCTCGAATGCTTTTGACAAAAACGGCAGCGCCTACTAAGGCAAGAGGCTGATAATCCAGTTTTCGTGCTACCTCTAACCCTAGCTCACCATCGGCGATACCAGAAAGCTTGGCCAATAAACAACTGGCATCGTCGGGCTCCATACCTTTGCTAACGGAGATGTGATTAACTAAAGAGCTTTCTAAGGGGATTGACGTTGTATCCTGCGTAGTTATCAACAATTGACCCCTTGCCCACGCCTCGTTTCCAGACTGTGGTAGGTAAACGTATACGGAAGAGAGGGTAGTGACATTGTCCACTACTATTAGCCACGAAGTGTAATTACCAATTTTTGCCCTAACAAGCATCTTAAGATTGGCGATCTTGTTCTCAATTGACCACTCCTTTGAACTCAGGATTTGCATTACTGAATAATCTGGGCACTTTTATTGACGAGCAAAGTTGGTATACGACTCCAGAAGGGAATCTGGGCTTGCAACGTTTATGGTCATCACAAATGAAGAAGCGTCTGGCATTTCCTTGACTTGCTCATGAAAAAACCTTTGAGCTACGAGGCCAGCTAACTGGGATTTGCCACTACCAGGATTTCCTGAGATGTATGAATAACTCAATCGGTTGTAATTGGCCTTCTTTAATTCCTTTAGCAGTTGGGCTATTTTTGCTACCTCGCAATCGCGACTCCCAATGTCGTGTGCAGGTTCAGGAGGGAGAATGCAGAATGAAGGCACTTCTTTGTACAGCTGGTCTGCAAGGACCTGTCGCTGATTCTCTTTTTCTTGGAGGTTTTTCAAGGTGTTTAGTAATTGTTCCGTTAGGAACGTTGCCTGATTTTTAATCCCTTGATTTTTTTCAGTAGTGAGACGAAGAGCTTGAAACCCAACATCAACTTTGCCAATGGCATTTTGAAAATCCGTGTCAGAGAGACGTCCTTGAGTTATGTGAGCAAAATTCTCCCATTCCCTTCTGTTTCCGTTTTTTATAGTGGCCAAAAGAAGAGCATTTCTTTTTTGATTTTGAGGAGACTCACCGTTATAAAAGTCTGTTCCACTTCGAGAATCATCTTTCCATTCTCCTTTTGTTGATTTATAGACTTTGTCCCATTCTTGTTTAAAAATTTCTCTTAGACCGTCGGCTAGAACATCAGTAGTTACATAACAAATTCTGAAAAAATTCAGCTGTTCACTGGTATATTCTTTGGAAAGGGCCATACTTTATTCACTGCTGATGTATGGTACCTTTTGAGAAAATAATTAGCAAATTAGCCACTGCTGAAACTTAAGGTCATGCTTTCAGCAAACCCTTAGAGTAAAAATTTGTATTAAAGACGAACTTGAGTCGTTTTGAATTTTCATGGCCGGTCCTTCCATAAATTATAGCATGAATCCCTTCTAAAAAGGAAAGAGGTTTATCGTTGTAGTTGCCAACTTACAACTTAACTTCAAGGTTGGGGCTCTGGCTCCCAGAGAGCTTGCACGCAGACTAATTCCTTCACAACAAAGCAACCAGGTAATTATCCTGAGTAGTGTCGCCCCCTCTCTCCAGAAAAAAATCAGAAAATGGCCCCTTCCTTTAAAAACAATAATTTTTGCTTTGAAAAAACGATTAACAGTATAATAACTGATAGCTTGCTCATCAATCTTACTCGGAGCCCCCGGAAAAAAGACTTGACAGACTATTACCCACCCCCTCGGAAATTGCCTCCTTTTGAACCCGCCTCCCCTCTAAATGTCCGTTGCCCCCCGTGAGGGGTATGGAGGATATTTTCTGGAACTACACAATGTTTAGAAACTTATAACATGGTATGTGACGGTAGTGACCAAAAAGGTGGTGCCAGTTTGTTCTGTTATTATTTAATAGTATTGACTTAGAAACTAAGAAGTTGCCCCAAATGAACAATATTTAAAAGTTTGCCCAAATTAGAGAAGTTGCTCGAAATCGGAAAAGTTGCCCAAAAGTTGCCGATCATCTTAGGGGCAACTTTAGCGGCTGTACAAAGACTATCAGCTTATAATAATCAACAATTGATAATCATTTACTTTCTTTTGAGTACCCTGTTAATAGACGTTTTCTTTCCTTTGGCCAGTCTGTATTTGGACACTCATTGATCCGTAGTGAAACACTATTGTCTAAAATTTCTTTAGTAGTATTTATCCTATTATTGTGAGTAGAACGACTTGACAAGAAGCTCGAGGGGACCATAAGCTGAAGGAGGTTGAAGTATGCATTTATTTTTAATTACCTTTTTCGCGACATGTTAATTGTGTGAATCGTTGCGAAAATATAGAAAACAGCCCCTCTCACTGTGGAAACTTCGTCAAAAAATTCATTAATTCTTTCCTGCAGTGTCCATCCTGAGTTGGAATCTTTGAGGTGCGCTTCACTTCAGTGTGGAAACTGTGTGAATGTATCAGTGTTAAGATTAAATCGTGGATTGCTGAATCCGATTTCTCATTTCCCGATGCTCGTGTGCCACGAGGAAAACCCTCAACGCGCTTACAAGCGTTAGTCGGAGAAAACCAAAATCTGACCAAAACCTTAATGCTGCTCCTCCGCTGTCGAAACTAGAAGATTACCATCGTGTCAACACCTTTTGCACCTCTCTAGATAAGATCCTGCCCGAAATTGAGAGTCAATTCAGTGGAAATCACCTTTAGTTATTCACCTACCAGTCATAGCTTTGATAGCCTGCGAACGGCAGACGTTTCTCCTCGCTCATCATCACTGCTTTGTTGTTACTGTTGACATTTAGTACCGCTTTTTGCGTTTTTCTTAATTTTGACGTTATTGTCCCTTTGATAAAGTCGTTTTATTTAAATCAAGGACAAGTTAAATAACATTGCCTATGAAGTGCAAATTGTTGCACTCAAAAACGAGGAAATTAAAGTGATTCAAAATATAAAATTTTCTGAAAATCGCGTCGCGAAATATGCGCACATCAAAATCGCGAAATAAACATGGAGTGGTGAAAATTTCATGTAATAAGGTAGCTATACTGGTGCGTGCCTGTTCGCAGTTGTGTCACCACGCATTGACCTGCAGAACCACATTTCCTTTTTTTTTATCTCGCCACTCGCTTTTAATTTTAATGGCCATGGTTAATCGTGGCAACGAATTCTCAATTGCGCCTGGGAACTTTTTGAAAAACGTTTTTGACATACGGCAGGTAACGCCGTGCACTTGTAGCGGCAGAAACTTTTGTTTTAGGTATTTCATTCGCTGGGCAATATTAAGCCAATATCAAGTCGTCATATCGGTTGGCACGCAAGCAAGTTAACATGGGCATCGTATGCGGACTAAAGGAATCCATCCCTAAAATGAACTAAAATAGTCTTAGCTTTTTTAAAGGGAGAAGCGGGGTACAAATCTAGATCAGGCTACTGAATTTCCACAACACGCTTGAATTAATACGTATGTTTTAGTAACAACATCGGCTAGGTGTTCGCACGAGTATAATTTTATTGTTGTCCTCAAAACTACATACCAGCCCCCCTCCCCAGTGCGGGCGCCTTGCTCGTCGACTCTTCCCCTAGAATAGATACGAGCAGCCCTTTATTACCATTATCCCGCTGTCTGTACCCTCCACGTGTAGAAATTCATTATTTACAAGTCGCTTCGAAAAACACATTCCATTTATCCCACTGTGCTAATTTGCTCGATGGCAATTTGAAGCTTGACTATAGAGGGTTATCAAACATGGCGCTATTGTATTATTCTGCAAGTCAGCACATTTTAAGCGGTTGATAAGTTTTCTTTTTCGCTTGCTTAAGAGATATAACAGAAGTCAAAAGTAAAAGCAGTGAGTTCCTAGCGGCGTATTTTAACATGTTCTGACTTCTATATTTTATATAGTGATTCCTTTTGGTCAGAAAAGATACAATGAAGAGATGAACCTTCGCCAACCACGCAAATCAAATCAAATCAGAGAAAAAAAAAAAGAAAAAAAGAATTAGTGTCCATGCGTAAATTTTTTCTACTATTGCCATGTAAGGAATGGTAGAAAAAAGTGGCAGAAAAAAGCAGCAGAAGTATAATCTGGTCAGATCAGTTAAGATCATTACGTAGAAATTACTGACTTAACTAAAAAAAAAATACAAGATGGCTTCCCCTCCCTAGAGTAATGTCTTCCATGCAGGGGAATATAGAGTTCAGAATATAAACAACAAGTGCGTTTAAGACTAGAAGCAAATATAATAAATCAGTTTTATTTGAATGGAATTATACTGAGTCACGCAAAGGAAACTTAAAACTTGTTAAAATTCTCTCTCGTCCCTAGTCAACTGTGTATAACGGGGATGGGGTGAGGGTAAATTGAGTTTGCCGCCTTGACATGAATTTTTTCTTTATTGCTAACAGTGGCTTTTGTTAAAACTTCCTTGGAGTGTATAAGAGGCATATTTATGGGTCAGTTTATGTTTACCATGCTTTGCAAAAAGTAAGATGTAAACATGAACTTGCATATGGTCGCACATGGCTTCACAAAAATGCTGTTGTTTGTCTAGCAATAACCCAAGGAAGGTCACAAAACAAGACATTTTTCATTCCTTAATTAGCTATCGAGAGGAAAATTGCAGGACGACGTCGTTTTGAAAAGACCAGGGATTGAAAAATGTGTGAGACACGAAGTCGATCCTTTCTACCAATCATAGCCCGAATAAGCCCCCTTCCCTTCATCCGTCACTTTATCTATATTGAAACTGAGAGCAGTTTTTGAACGCTTATTTACTTTGGCACCATTTTTCTGTACTTACCGTCTGGTAGTACGAAAAAACTAGGGGGAACTAGGGGAAGCGGAGGAAAATAAGTGGGAACTAGGGGGAAGAGATTGACTAGGAACAGGAGCTTATAACCCGTAGGGTTGTTTATTCGGTTCCTCATGAGGAGAAGAAACGCATGCGTAAACCTTTCCATGGCAATCTCAATAATACATAAGAATTTGAAAAGCGACAAGTTGTAACAGTTGTTTCATATTCAATGCAAATAGGGTGGTTTGTTTTATTAATACAATAGCGTGATTCGCAACAAGTTGTCTTTTAATCCTGCTCAACTAGCCGAAAATATGATTCGAAAACTAAAGGAAAAGCGCGGAAATTCTCCATCTTCTGCCGTCCTCGAGGCTGCTATAATTGTTGCATTCATGGTGTTGCCGCTTATTATTTTGTGGTGAGCCTGTCTTGATGACTTCACAACGAACACAGTGCCTGTGAGACTGTTTTGGTTTACTTTGATTCCCGGTGCTGTTTTGTACCCAAAACATTTCCGCTATTGCTATGACATGCAACATTGAACCTCACGTACAATGTATATGGAGTATTGAAACTGAATCAAATGGAAGGAGATCGTGTTGTTTTGACGAACCCTGTATTTGTCAGCTAAATTATTTATTGCATTACGACTGCCTTAATGTACACGAAAAAGTCTCTTGGATCATCAAAAGACCTTTTGAGCAGTTTGCTTTTCAACGACATTTTATTCACAGTCAAGAATATCTACACGCGAAAAGGGAAATAAGATTTGGAAGTTTGCTTGGACATTAAATACCGATCTGTCACAACGTCAGCCATTACTTCTTAACTGGTTAATAACGTGCAATACTACACTTTACAAAACCGCTAAGTTCTGTAACTCAAATGATCTTTAATTTTGTAAGAGGTATGAAACCAAGCGCATAGTGTAAGATTTTGAAGGTGTACGCACGCGGGGAAGAGAAGTTTTAGCACCAAAAAAGTAGAGTCGGGAAACATGCTCCCGCAGAAAATCCTTAAATTTATGGTCTCGGCGGAAATGCCATTTTTAGCTTTTTCCGCAGGATATTTTTAACAAATTAATATGGAGGAAAATGCAGTAGTTAGTTGTTTATTTTATTCATCTCTAGGACTGTCAAAGGTGCATGGTTTAGGCGGGAAAAAAAAGGTCAGTGACGCAATCAGAATTACGGAATAAGATGAAAGGGACAAAGGAAATACTAACACAAAGACGCACGGGGGTATGGACGCTACCTTGATGTAATTGGAGAACGTTACCAAATTCAAGTACCTTGGAGTGATCATAAACCGACATCTTACTTGGCATGACCACATTGAACAACTACAAATTAAGTAAAATAGCAACGAAACTAGGTGTCTTAAAACGAACCAAGCATCTTCTCCCAGTTTATGCAAGAAGGATCTATGTGTCAACGATGGTCATTCCTATTCTTGAATATGAAAGTATCGTATGGGTTTACAAAAATAACATAGTTTTAATGGATTCTATCCAAGTTCTTCAGAATAAAGCAGCCAAGCTAGCTGGAGCGAGCGACGCATTCTTCTTCAACCCAAGCACTTTTAGATCTGAACTGAATGAATCTATCAGCCAAAAGATTAATGCGACGGTGTTTTTTTATGCATAATTTTACTAATGACAGTGAAAGAAACAGTATGATTACTCGAGACTCAGACTATCATAGCCATAACACCCGCTCCAAGGAAACTATTTGATTTATTAGATCAAACACGAACTGGGCTCTACTCAGATCTTTAATAGTGTATTGACAGACTGGAATTCCCTTCCTGAAGACATGAGATGTCTACCTTAAAATGCTTTTAAAATTTCGTTACTTAAAGATTTTAAATCTCAATACGTTAGCTTAGTGTGACGTTTTTTTAGTTCACCTAATTTAATATCTTATAATTTTTAGTACTGTAGTTTTTAGCTTTTTATGCAGTGCCCCAGTGCCCTATTGAAAACCACATTATGTGACAAAGGCCATCTGTAAAAAGAACTTTATTACATTGTAATAATTTTTATTATTAAGCAGTTTCCAGTTTCTGTTAATTAGTAAACGCAGAAATGCGGCGCCAGCCTTCAGGGCGGAAAAACGTAATGAGCATGCGTGAACGTTTTTGCCCAGATCCTCTGGCCGGGTTTGAAAAAATGGCGGAATTTCAAATATTTTTTGCCTAATAATAAAATGTTTCCACTCATAACCTGGAAAGGACAAGCAATTTGTGTTCAAAAGTTGCAAGCTGTGGTTAATAAACTTCTTATTACTTAATGTTCTCGAAGAATACCTCATACAAAAACGGACTTTAACGACATTAATGTCCATGCAAGAGTAGCTTGGTAAAGTTTTCATCAATGTTTCTATGTTTGTCCATTTTATCAACTTCAGTTGCTAGCCTAAGTTCCTACCATGGTCCCATTTAGGCTGCATTATCCTCATCGTCATGACCATCGATCATCGATCATAATCATCGCAATACAACACCAGCAGCGTTATCATCATGTTTATCAGTATTTTTACCATTTCCGTGAAAGTTCTAGCAACCACCGCCACCACAGCCACCGCCACCAAACCCACCGCCCCCAATAAATAATGAATTAGTAACTATTGTTCTAGAATAAGTTTTCCTTTCCCTTTCCCTTTTCCTTTCCATTTCCCTCCTGCGGGATTCCAAACATCTTCCACAAGTGGTTCTTATAATGTGATTCTTAAACTTGTCGGCGTCATAACCGGCTGCCACTGCAAACTTCAAGTTTTCCGGAATGTGTATCTCTGTGGGGTAATGGCTACAACGACAACTTGGGTCATAAAAAAGTGTTTCGTTTGAAATTGGCTGACAAAGGACAAAGAGGATTGCAATAGCAAACCCAAGTGCAATTGTTTCTGGTACGTGAGAAACATCTGGAGGAATAACAATTATACCATCCCTAAGGTCCACACGAAAGAGCATTTTATTGCTGAGCTCTATCGAAAATTCTTCTGGGTTAGATGAAACAGATTTCCATTCTTGTTTCTCAATAAGAGAAAAGAATTTTATGGCACATTGATTTTCCCACCTACCGATACAGATCCCCCAATCTTTACTTCCTCGAATCAACATAGCTCTTTCGTTGTGCTCTAGGGTACAACATCCGTTCGAGTCATGGACTTGCTTCCAGCTTGGAAGAGTACCCCTTTGGAGAAGATGTGCTGTACTTACAATATCTCCAGCATTGTTGATGACCACTACAGACATTGGGTGATATCCTCGTCTCATCCCCCCGTGGTGCATTACTCGACACGAAAAAGCCAGGCGATCATGGCAGCCAAATACCTTCTGCAGTTGGCATTCTACAGATGGCGTAAAAGATAAGGTCTTGAAGACAGATAACATTGGAGTGCTTAAAATGGTTGCAGCATCACTCGTGTAGCTTAGACTTTCCTCCGGTTTGATTCTAAACCGATACTCTTTAGGCGAAGGCGGATGGAGAACAGCAGTAATTTTAACATAGTTTTCACTTGAGAAATCCTCCCTCTGTGTTATGATCAGTGGAGCCTCAAGACTTCTCTGGATGAACGGCTCCAATTTCAAAAGGAAACGCTGGTCTGGTTCCTCAGCCATTCCCACAAAACAGCACCCAAGTCGACGTTTCCGGTACATTTCAACCTGTGCCGTAAACAAGTACACATTTCTGAGTTATTTAACAGGATTCTGTTCAAAGACAAGTTACATTTGCCCAAATTGACCAGAAACCAATCAAGAATATCACCATAACATAGTAGCAGCTACTAATAGTCTACTCTACCGCTGTGCAAAGTATTTCTAACACCGAAACCGGAAATGGGTCTTACATTCCGGATTTCACGCTATGGATTCCGGAATCCAATTGCTCGGTCCCAGATCTTTTTCAGGGAAACTTGGATTCCGGATTTCAATTGTTAGTAGGATTCCGGATTCCCACAGGTGTTTTCCAGATTCCAAGGCCCAGGATTACAGGCTCTATTTGTCAGTGGGATTCTGGATTCCTACAGGTGTATTCCAGATTCCAAGGCCCAGGATTCCGGATTCCAATTGTTAGTGGGATTCTGGATTCCTACAGATGTATTCCAGATTCCAAGGCCTATGATTCTGGATTCCCTAAGCAACAAATTCCAAGATTCCGGATTCCACATGCAAAAGTTTCCCGGATTCCCTTACATTGGGCGACACAATGGACATAATCCATTTTCTCTGGGCACATGTTCGACCTGATATCGACCCATTTCAATAATAAGTTTGTGAGTACACAAATAGATTGGGTCTCTCGTAAGCTTGATCAGCTTAATGGATAGGACAGAACTTTGCGTCCAGTCAATCGCATGGTTCACGGTTCGATTTGCGGTCAAGACTGAATTTTTTCAGGGTTTTTTCAAACGCTTTGGTCACTCCTTCATTTACCTACGTGAATCAGTTCATATATCTTTATTCATGTTTTATGGAGTAAAATATCCTGTAAGGAACCTTTGAGGGAAAATATAAAAAATAAACGATGACTGATTGACTGATTGATTGATTGATTGATTTGTGGATGGACTAGGACCTCTAGAAGTTTAGAATGCCATCATACCTGAAAGAAATTGTTGGTTTCTTCTCGGAATACGAAGGTTGAAGGACGATCAGGGGTAGGCTGAAAAATATGGGCAGCAGGTCCTTTAAATCTCTTCATGATAATGACGTCTCCACTGACTTTTTTACTTACATCAACTCTCAGTTCATACCAATTGGATTCAGAAATTCCAATCTCTATCTCCAGAACATCTATTGAGTACTCATTTATCAACATCGAAGAGTAATCGACGGGCTTACCACGTTCTTCAATGTTTAATGGAGGTTCACCTCGAAACAGGCTTCCATTTCTTTCATACTCCATGTTAGCAGCTGACCACAGCTGCTTTGTTGTTTGCGCAGATGTTGAACGTTTCGAGCCTGGCTGGCGATCGTTAACAGAATCATCGTGACCAAGGACTTTCCCCAGGAACTTCATACTGTCAGTTCTGTAAGCCAGCGGATGAACTTGGTGAGCATGCCATATGAGATCGGAGTCAAAACACGGGACAAGGAACGTACCTGGATGACTTTGAGCGAACCGCAGATGCTGTTTGTATCTTTCAAGAGCTTTTTTAAGAAACTTCCTGTCCCCGTAATGAGGTAAGGAAACCTGATAGTAAAAGACCCTCTGGCGACTGCATCCAGCCACAATATCATATTGGATTCTTGACACGTGAGGTACGATACTTGCAGGGGCTGACAGGTCAACTTTATAAGGTTCATTGCCGTACATTTGGTGCCATAGGAGCTTCGCCTTTTGAAGTCCAGCTTCCCGCTCTTCTCCTACAAGAATTTTATGGTCCACCAATGTTGAGACAATCTCGCTGCAATCCCTTTCATAAGCGAGAGGTGAAAGCATATGCACGTGCCAAACCCAAGCAATGTCAAGAGGAGCAGCAACTGTTGCATCTGGGAACTCAGCGATTAGTGGAAGCCAGAAGACTTCATATCTAAACCCAAAATGGAAACATCCCATGTAAAAAACTACTTGAAAAAAAAAAAACAAAAAACCCTATCAAGGCAGGTGATAAGGGAAGGGGTGGTGTCCTGAATTTAAATATACTTGATTTAACATGCAGACATGCAGTTAATCCCACTAGAGAAAATTCATTCTTCACGTGACTCAGTTCGTAAGGTCAGGGAGTCGCATTTGATACATAAGGCCATGACTCTTGAACCTCATGGCCTAAACCGCCGTGACGAATTATGGTAATCCATATCCTTATTATTTTTCCTGTCTAGTTTTTGTGTTGTACTTCATTTCTGCCTTTCCCTTTTAAACAATTTTTATTGCGACATTCTCTATTAATAATAATAACAATAATATTGTGATTCCTACATAAGTTCAGTAACATCTGTAAGCCTGAGGAAGGCTGGTATGGCCAGCCGAAATATTGTTATGAAAAAACAATACACGTTCTGAATCAGCTTTGCATTAGTCTTTGGGCTTCTCGTTTTTGGTTCTTTATATTTTGGCTGATTAGATCTCTTTTCCAGAGATCCAACGTTTACAACTAGCAGGATCTTCGTCCACGCGTTTTGCACTTAATTTAATCCTTTACTTGATTTAATACCAGCATAACTTCATCGCCGAGGAAATTCTTTGCATAATGCGAATTGAAAGTTTTTATTCTTTTTGGCACGCATATTGACCCAGATATTTTTAGAATGCATAATTAAAGTCATGCAAATTTATTCCAGATGGCTGATTCAAGATGCAGTCCTTACGACCCATGAAGCCCCATCCATACCAGCGCAATGTAGTCTGCAATCATACTCTTCCCTGTCGCTTTGTTTTCAAGTCACGTGCACTTGCTGAGAATTACTTTTACTTCGTCTATGTTTAGGTTCTTTGTCATAGCTTGCAGCCAGAAATTACGTAGGAAGATGGAGTCTGTCCTCTCTAGTCCCAAATATGAATTTGCAGGGGCACCCAACGACAATTTTTGGAAAATATCTGTTTGGAAGACGATTTGAGATCTAGATTTTTCGGAACATTTGTTGAAATGCCTTGCTTGCCTGCCTTTCCTAGGATTTTCGAACATCTGAAAAATGGTATAATTGCTCATTTTGAACGGATTTTTACACTAAAAAGGTCACCTAGAATTTTCGGGAGCTTTTTTTCTGGCTGAAATTTTCGAAAAGGTAAGTTTTGATCCCTATAATTTTCGGATCACTAGACTTTCAGCTAGGAATCCGAACAGATGAAAAATTTTTAGGGGATAAAAATATGTCTATATATCTACCGTTTAAATATTAAAATCGCTGTGGCTATAAGGCCGGTAACCGGTCCAGGTTTTCAAAACGCTAAATGACCGGCAGTCCAGTATTTTCAATAAATTTGACTTATCTAAGAATCCCAACCAATCCAAATTATCATAATGTCGATTAAGAAAAGTCAAGCGATCCTGAAATGCTTTAATTTACAGATCTCAAGTCTAGCGTTTGGTTTACGCTGGGCTCAGAAAACGAAACCATGTTTTGTGACACTTAGAACTTTTTTCAGCTCGACTGCCGGTCATATATTCTCCGTAAATTTTATAAATCGAAATAATCCAGCTAAACCAAACTGTCATATGTCGATTAAGAAAAGTCAAGCGAAATGTACTGAATATAGGACTGCCGGTCATTTAGTGTTTTGAAAACTTTGACCGGCAGTTGAGCTGAAAAAAGTTTTTAGTGTCACAAAACATGGTTTCGTCTTCTGAGCCCAGCGTAAACCAAACGCTATACTTGAGATCTATAAAGCATTTCAGGATCGCTTGACTTTTCTTAATTGACATGATAATTTGGAGTAGCTGGGAAGTTTCGATTTTGTGAAATTTACTGAGAATATGAGACTGCTGGTCATTTACTGTTTTGAAAACCTTGAGCGGTTACCGGCCATATAGCCACAGCGTACTAAAATACGTTCAACAATGCTATGTTTAAGTGGTTTTGAACTATATTCTCGTTGGGTGCCCCCGAATTTGGTCTTTCAAATTTATCAAATTTATCAAATTCCTAGCCTGTGTACAGACTCCCCCGGGGAGAGACAACCGATTTTTTCTGAGGGGAGGGACACAAGGAACACAGGGAACGAAAGTCGCCCTATAAAACCGTGCCTCCTCTCACATTTTGTTTGTTATTACAATTTTACCATCCTTTTCTCAAATGGAAGCCTTCAAAATACATTTAGAGAGTTTCTAAGGCTGGATAAGATAGAAAGAACAATAAAAATATCCTCCCATGTCCCTGGCTTCACCAGGCGGTCCTAATAAGGTTCAAAAAGTACGCTCCAGTCATACCTTCTGACCGCGTTTTGAACATGTGGGCCAACATACAGGCATGGATGTTCATCTACAAGCTTTAAGAACTTTCTTTGGGCGATGGCCGCCTCCAGCAGATCGATGCTAACTATGTCCTCTTTTGACATGGCAACTTGTCGACTCGATTCACCAATATCTTTTAATGTAAATTTCATAAATTAGCAAATAAAAGCCCAAGTATGTTAACTACTTTACATCTACAACCCTGGTAAAAACGCTGGGGCCACGAACGCAAAAGTTGGTCAAAATGACGCCCTTTCCCTCCTCTCCCCCTCGGTGCAGTGTTGACGTTATACCTTTGAGTCTTTTTGAACACAATCAACATTGCTGAGGGGAGAGGGGAGGGGTGGAGGGGACGGCAGAAATAGGCTCTTACAACAACATTTCCGATCATGTGTAAGATGGAAAATACGAGTTTATTAGAAGGGTGCGGTTTAGCACTTAATTTCCTCGTGTCTCAAGATGTTTTGACCAGGGTTGTAGTCCTAATTGTTTCCGATCAATTTCTGTATCTACAGATCACGCATACGACCTGATCTGACATTAATACACTGAGAGCTGATAACAAAACCTAGTTTTAAGTTAACCAGCCATGAAGTCATCAATGACCCAAAGAATAGAGTAATGGGAAAACTGCATGCAATACTAAATTCAGTGTCTTGTGAACGACAAAGGACATTTAAGACTACACTCGCGGCCTTCATTCTTTGGTTGAAGAAACAAAAAATATTAAACCACTTGCTTATGACTAACCAGGCCATTCCCTGTTTCAAGTCATGAATTTAACGAAATAAAACCAGGCTGGAAATAACCTTCAACTTCTAGGCAACTTTAACACGGAAGTAAAAGCAGCAATATTAACGTCACGTTTCTGTGACATTGTTAAATATGTACTCCAACTGCATTTGAAATATGAAGCGATATCTTTGTAGAATTCGTCCCATATATCAAACCACAGATATATTTCACAAAATTCGGCTTTCTACGGTGTTGTAAAATAAATACGGCGGTCCTTACTTTATCAAGAGCCTCCCTTCAGGTTAAAGATCATTATAAAACCATGTATAAATCACATAAAATTAGCTATTAAAAAAAGTTCCACTGATTATCAAATTCTATGTAAACCTCGCTTTTAGCATCCCCGTCTGCATTGAGACAATTAATATTATGTCGCCCCACTTCTTATTGCCTTAATTCTGAAAACTTGCTATCCACAAGGAGGTCAGTTATAAAACGTCCAAACAACAGTACTCGATGGAAAGAACTGGGAAAAAGCGTGCTCTATGATCTACGAACAACGCTGCGGAATTGTGCAGTGATTGGACACATACTTTTGCAGGGAATTACAGTATGAACACCTATGCGACTCTTTACTTTAGAGATTGGCGTAGCGCAGTTTCGCTCTGTCACAAAAATCGCACCAAAATCATCGGTCTTGTCTGTGAACAAAAGCCTTATCCTCGACCAGAGTATCCAGTTTGATTTTCGTTGCGGCGCAAAAGCTATTCAGTGTAGTGTGAACGGTAAACCTTGCCTAAGTAAAATACCACAGCATTTAACTACTCACAAAGCGGGTTTTCAATGAACATTGACTTACCAGTGTTACTCTACCTAACCTAACAGAGCATTAACTATTTACAATCAGCGATTATTATTTAAACCCAAGGTGAATAAGGCAATGTACGTTTTACTACTATATAAGTGAATGGAACGTTTGTCTTGCCTACCTTTGTTTGCCTTTTGAAACCTTCGTTATTTATCTTCAACGGTCCTCACAGCATCGCATCGGGACACGGACTGACAGTGTGGTATTTTATATGGGAAGAAATAAGGTGTTTAATTTATGACCGACCATTTACAAACAATACTGAATTGTGTTGCGGAACCAATTACACTTCCTCAGGATGTTTCAGAGTCAGTTTAATCAAAGAAACTTGAGGCATGACGATGCAAATATCGAAAACGTTTGCCACTAATTTTCCTGTACGATATGTCCTTCAGTACGTAAATTAGGAAGAAAGAACATCAAGCCAAACATTGATTTCCATTTTGTTCTCTAAATTGTATTCAGCTATTTCCAGTCAGCAAAGGGGAATCAAAATCTAACAGCAAGCACACCATTTAGGTTGTTTCAACTCTGGGCAGTTATATTGTTATACAAGGAAGTCTGTAAAATGTCAATATTAGCCCGGTTTAATAAGCCCCAATATCATGCGGAGTAAAACCACTGGCCTACGGTATCTGCACGGTTTTGCACATTTTTTCACGTTCGTTCTGTGATCTATAAAGGAAGAGACAATGGAACTATGATAGCCATATTGGATTCCACAAAAAATGGAGATGAAATTTAGCCATCTTGCATTTTTTGAAGAACAGGGATTCGGACAGCCCTCATCTTTGCTCAAAACATGTTATGAACATACTGAGCTCGTGTATTTACAGTTGCATACCTTATGATGTCATCACATCACCAGATTAACTACCGTTATAACATAGCTAGAATATTCGCCTAATCAAAATCAATAGCTCGAGCGTGCTTCATCTTCCCATTGAGCACGCTGACGACGTCAATAAATTGTATATACCTCGAGTTCTTGTGAGCTTAGCAATCCTCCCAAGACGTCTGCCAAGTGCATCCATAACTCAACAGTACACGATGAAGCGTTAATCATGTGTTTTATAACGTAAATTTAAGAGAAAGGTTTGAATTTGTTAACCGATAGTAGCGAAAAGAGGTAAATGTTTTTGTTGCTGTCGTCTACGCGAGCTGTGCGGGCTATGGCAAGTGCAAATCATTTCTTTGCAAAGTTACTTCTTTCAAAAAGAATTTTTCGGTGAATTAATAGTCTTCCGGCACCTTTATTAATATGGATTTTACAATCTTTTTGAGTGTTGTCTTAAGCGAATTGAGTAAACTTTCTCTCAGTTTCAAGACAAAAACATTACTGTGTGGTAAAAAAATATAGTCCCGTACACATTGACGCGTACTGCTTTGAGCGCGCGCTACAATAATAAAAATTTAAGTTATTGATCACTTTGATAATGCTATAAAACAATTAGTTCATGCTTCAGCCGCGCGTATTTCGAGATATTGAGCACTTAGGAAGTTTGAAGAGCACTCAAGAGGCTAGAGTTCGCACTCTTACGCCTCTTTCGCGATCGTGCTCTCCAAACTTCCCGCGTGCTCAATATCTCGACATACGCACGCTGACGCATGGATTGAACTAATTGTTAAATAACATTTACGTTTGCACTAGTGCATCGTCTTCCGATCGCGAGGTTAAATCTCATGTGCTTTTAGTATCAATGTCTGCAATAAGGCAATACCCCATTTACTGGCCTTATAAAACCCTACTATCTACTAACTTATAGGAAGTTACAAAACTTCCAAACAACAGTGCTTGATGGAAAGAACTGGGAAAACGCTGAAACTGTGCTCAAAGATCTACAAACAACGCTGCGGAATTGTACCGTGATTTGTCACACACTTTTGTCGGTAATTACAGTGTGAACACCTATCCGACTCTATACTTTAGAGATTGGCGTAGCGCAGTTTCGCTCTGTCACAAAAATCGCACCAAAATCACCGTTCTTGTCTGTGAACAAAATAACACATAAATAAGCACTTTGCATCATTTCATTCACAAGTTTTACTTTAATTGTTGAAAAAAAGTTGAAAAAACATGCATTTTCACTCAAAAATGGCTTGACCACCTACTACTTATGACGTCATACCTCGTAACCATAGTGACTGACCATCACTAAACTTGTCTTAAAAGCGCGCGGGGATAAACAAATAGCTACTGAGAATGTCAGATGCTGATGTTTTATCGTGTAGGAAAAAAATAAAAAAAACCTCAGAGTGGAGGTGGTAACCACCCCCCAACCACCCCCCCAGTACGTCCAAGGGTTACCTTAGGAAGAAAGAATGTCAAGCCAGACATTGATTTCCATTTGGTTCATCTCAATTATATTCAGCTATTTCCAGTCAGCAAAGAGGAATCAAAATGAAACAGCAACCACACCAGTTAGCTTGTTTCCCCTCTGGGCTGTTATATTGTCATAGAAGGAAGTCTGTAAAATGTTATATTTTGTCGGTTTAATCAAGCCGCAATATCAAGTGGAGTAAAAACACTGGCCTTCGGTAGGTGCACGGGTTTGAACATTTTTCACGTTATTCTGATATCTATCACAGTAGAGACAATGGAATTCTGATAGCGATCTTAGTTTCCACAAAATTAAAAAAGGAAAGAAAGAAAAGAAAAGAAATAATATAGAAATCTAGTCATCTTGCATTTTTTGTAGAACAAAAAAATTGAACTACTTATGACGTCACATCTCAAGGGGAGCAACCACCCCTAGACCCTTGTTGCTGTTGTTTTTTTTTTAACTTAAAACTTTCGCACGTTCTTTTAGGCGCCTGAGAACAACGCAGATTCAACCCTTCAGCTCGAGAATCTCTCTGTTTTCTATTTATTGCGAAAATTTTCACTTTGTCTAGTTTACAAGGAGTTGAAAACAATAATGGTATTGTTTCAATGGCGAAAAAAATCTAAGGCCATTAACGCTAACAACTAAATTTACAAGGAAAAAGATGACGTGACCTGTATAGTTTGTTACATCGATCTTTTTTGCAGAAGAGGATTTTCTTCTATCAGTATACGGATTCCATTCATGCACTTTTAGCAACCACAATTAACAATCCTTGCCTTATTTCACATTTTCCTCCATTATGGCTCATCAGACACGTGATCAGAGATATCAACCCTCAAGACAATGAAGGACATCAAATTTTAGGGGTCCTTTGGACTCGAAATGAATTATCTCCATAATGGAAAAACATTCTTTAGAGGTAGTCGGGAGTAGAGCACCCCTCACCCTCTATCCCAGACATTCAGCTACATGTCACTTAAGTTATGACTTTAACAACAGGAATGGAATGTCACCATTGTTTGACGCCACGTGTGTAAGGGAACAATGGCTGATCGCTAAAGAGACGCGGTTTTGGTTCAAAATCATTTTGAAAATGCTGGGGAAAAACCTTTGTTAGAGCGGCGCCTACCCCTTTGTACGTCAAAGGGCTGATAAGTAATAAATTTACTGCCAAATTATTAATTTACAGTTGCTAAACTATATGTACATGCGTGAGGAGAAAAAATACTCGTGGGTAATTTGGTTTTCACAAACGGGCGACTTTCTTAAGTTTGATTCCTAGAGCAAGTAGTTGATACTTCTTGAATTGTTCAAAGTCACCTAACCACTGGTGAATTGTAGCTAAGTGACTGTAGCTCGTTGCTACAGAATCATGTTCACCACCAAGCTTCTTCAGTTTGATGGCTAAAGCGCGTTGCTGATATTCCTTAGCTTGCTCAAGGTCACGCAAGTCCTTGTAAATTGAAGATAAGTTGCTGTAACTCGTCGCAACTGAAACATGTTCAGGACCGAGCTTCTTCAGTTTGATCTCCAAAGCTCGTTGTTGATACTTTTTTCCTCGTGTGAGGTCATGCAATCGATGATGAATCACAGAAAAGTTATTAAAACTTAGGGCAACAGATATATGTTCAGCACCGAGCTGTTTAAGTTCGATTCTGAGAGCTCGTTTCTGATACTCTTTGGCTTGCCCAAGGTCACCTAAGTCCATGTGTATTAAAGCTAAGTTACCGTAGCTGGTTGCAACAGAAGAATGTTCAGCACCAAGCTTCTTGAGTTTGATAGCTAAAGCACGTTTCTGATACATCATGGCTGTTTTAAGGTCGCCTAAGTCTTTGTAAATTAAAGCAAAGTTATTGTAGCTTGTTGCCACAGAAACGTGGTGAGAACCGAGCCTCTTGTCTTGGATGGACAGGGCACGTTGTTGATACTCTCTGGCTAGTCGAAGGTCACCTAGTTCTTTGTGAACCAAAGCTAGGTTGCTGTAGCTCGTTGCAACAGAAACATGTTCAGCACCAAGCTTTTGTAGTTTGATAGCCAGAGCACTTTGCTGATAGTCATAGGCTTGCTTAAGGTCACCTAAGTCTTTATAAATTGAGCCCAAGTTACTATAGCTCGTTGCAACAGAAACATGTTCAGTGCCAAGCCTCTTAACTTGGATGACCAAAGCACGCTGCTGGTACACTTTGGATTGCTCTAGGTCACCTAAATGCTTGCATATTGAAGCTAAGATGGTGTAACTCTTTGCAACAGAAACATGGTTCGCTCCTAGCTTCTCGCTTTCGATATCAAGAGCCCGTTGTTGATATTTCTTTGCTTTATCCAGGTCACCTAAGTCTTTATGAATCGAAGCTAGGTTACAATAGCTTGTTGCAGCCGAAACATGCCCAGCGCCGAGCTTCTTCAATTGGATGGATAGGGCTTGTTGCTGATACTCCTTGGCTTGCTTAAGGTTGCCCAACTGCTTGTGAATCAAAGCTAGGTTGTTATAGCTCGTTGCAATGGTAACATGCTCCGTTCCAAGCTTCTCGAGTTCGATGGCTAGAGCGCGTTGCTGATAGTCTTCGGCTTGCTCAAGGTCACCTAGTTCCATGAAAATCACAGCTAACTTGCTGTAACTTGATGCAACAGTAACGTTTTCACCTCCAAGCTTTTCTAGTTCGATGTCTAGAGCATGTTGCTGATACCCCTTGGCTTTCTCAAGGTCCCCCAAGTCTTTGTAAATTGACGATAACGCAGTGTAGCTTGCTGCAACGTCAACGTGATTGACGCCTAGCAGTCGTAGCTGAATTGCGACAGAATGCTCTAGATATTTCTTACCGACGATAAATTCACAATGCAGTCGGCAAATCTCGCCAAGGTTTTTAAATTTTTGGGCTGACATTCCTTCGACCTGAAATATACTCTCTCTGGAAAAAAGTTGATCAATTACTGTAATAAGAGAGGTGATGTGCGGGATGACATTCATGGTTTCCAGTCTCCTATTCTCCCCCAATTGAGTTTCAACAATAAATTGGTTTAATGAATCAACAGCTTGACTTACGATCTTGGACTTTTGACTATTTTGATAGCCACTCATCACAGATTTGATAGAGTCGTGGACAACCTTATGTACACGAATGAAAGAACCATTCTTTTGTTCTTCTAAAAGTAGCAGTGAGCAACTACTTAGAGTCATGCGAATTAGTTCCTTGTCCTCTTTATCGAAGTTTTCGTTTGCTTTTGCAATGTAATCGATTGCCACGTCAACGTTTAAAGGTTGTGGTGCACATAACGATAATAAGCTGAATAGGTCTTTGACGAATTTGTCAGACTTAACCTGTGTTTCGACAGCTAAGGTTATTGCTTTGGTCATTGTATTGGGATAAGCTGCAGAGTTTTTACCAGCAAGGGTATGTTCTGTCACTTGTCGTTTTCCTTTTTCTAATAGCTTTAGGTATTCTTTCCAGCCAAAATGCATTGATGCTTTGTCCTGCCGAATGTTTTTGACAAAAACGGCAGCCCCTGCTAAGGCAAGAGGCTGATAATCCAGTTTTTGTGCTACCCCTGCCCCTAGCTCACCGTCGGTGATACCAGATAGCTTGGCCAATAAACAACTGGCATCGTCTGGCTCCATACCTTTACTAACTGAGACGTGATTAACTAAAGAGCTTTCTAGGGGGATTGACGTTGTATCCTGCGTCGTTATCAATAACTGACCCCTTGCCCACGCCTCGTTTCCTGACTGTGGTAGGTGAACACGCACAGACGAAAGGGTAGTGACATTGTCAACAATCATTAGCCACGACGTGTAATGGCTAATTTTTGCTTCAATGAGCATCTTAAGATGGGAGATCTTGTCCCCAATGGACCACTCCTTGTAACTCAGGGTCTGCATCACTGAATAGTCCGGGCACTTTAATTGACGAGCGAAGTTGGCATATGACTCCAGAAGAGAATCTAGACTGGCAGCGTTTATAGTCATTACAAATGAAGAAGAGCTTGCCATTTCTTTAACTTCGTCATAAAATCTTTGTGCCACAAGACCAGCTAGCTGGGATTTGCCACTTCCAGGATTTCCTGAGATGTATGAATAACTCAACCTGTTGCAATTGGCCATCTTTAATTGCTTCAGCTGTTGGGCTATTTTTGCTACCTCGCGATCGCGACTCCCAATGTCGTGTGCAGGTTTAGGAGGGAGAATACAGAATGAAGGCACTTCTTTCCTTAGCTGGTCTGTAAGGACCTGACGTTGATCCTCTTTTTCTTGGAGGTCCTTCTTGACATTGTCAACCTCTTTCAAGATGTTTAATAAATGTTTCGTTGGAAACGTTGCCTGATTTTGTATCTCTTGAATTTTTACAGTAGGCAGACCAAGAGCGTGGAATGCGACATCAACTTTGCTAATGGCATTCTTAAAATCCATGTCAGAGAGACGTCCTTGAGGGATGTGAGCGAATTCCTTGTTTCTAAAATTTCTTAGATCATCCACACTTTTTCTGACTGTTGAGGCAAGGCTGGGTCCGACACAATCAGAGTAAAGGATAGCGTAAAACAGCATTGTACAATCCCATTCTTCTCTATTTCCATTTCTCATGGTGGCCAAAAGATGAGCATTTTTTCTTTGGTTACGTGGTGACTCTCCAATGTAAAAGTCAAATCCATTTCGAGGATCATCTCTCCATTCTCCTTTTGTTGATTTGTAGAGTTTGTCCCATTCTTTTTTAAAAATTTCTCTCAGGCCGTCGGCTAGTACGTCAGTTGTTACGTAACAAATTCTGAAATAATTTAATTGTTCTTTGGTATATTCTTTGGCCATACCTTATTCACTGCTGAGGCGTGGTACCTTTGAGAAAATAATCAGTAGATTAGCCAGTGTTGCGCGGAGCATTGAACCCTCGCATTGTCATGGAAAGAGTTAAAATAACTCCTAAGAGTGCAGGGATAGATTGAAATGAAATCTCACTTCACGGACCCAATAACAGTACTATAACCTTTTGACACCATTAAACAAAGTTCTCAGTGAACTCTAAAAGTAAGAACTTATATGAATACTGAGCCAGGGTCGTTTGGAATGATAATGGCGTGTCCCTTGATGAATAAGGTTCATCGCTTTTCGTCTGTCGCATTAGAGAGATTGAACTGCTCCCTCTTCCTCGTTACCAGAGTTTATTTTTCATTTTCATGTTATATATTCAGTATGTTTAAGTGCAGAAACGTGTTACGCAGGAATAAGTGAGGCAACTATTAGACTGTTCACCGTCCCCTATTTTTTCGCGACATCGTTTAGATATACCGCGTCTTACCGTCACGGCTATCTTGATTTTCAAATCTACCGTGGGGCGGGCGTCGGGGATTATAGATCTAGGGGAGGGGGCGACCCTAAGTAGTCTTGACACTCATGCAAGATGGCAGCCCGTAACGCAAAGCGCTCGATCTCGATGATCTTACGGAAAAATAGAGGACTGTGAACAGTCCAGGCAACTATAAGCCAAAAGCTCGCAATTGTACGTGTAATGCATTTTTCTGTGTTATACGTTAAGTAAACTAAGATATGTACGGGGTTTTGAACGTATTAAAATAGACTAAAAACTCTGTGAAGTAGAAAAGTCCTTACTGAATTTCGTGGCGATGCGTAATATGTTTAAGTTTTAAACTATGTAAAATCGCTTTCTCTAAATTTAAAACGATGCATGAAACACATAACAAAAAAGTTCAATATCGT